AGGATAAAAATACCTAAAAAAAAGATAGTGTTAACTAAACAATTACATGCTAGTTTTCCAACTGAGAATATTTCACTTTTATGTCAGGCGGTGCTGCCCAGCCTCCATATCTTGGAAATTGGTTCTAGTATTTATTACTAAATCTTTTCTTAGATTAAATAACACCAAGGCAGACATTTCTCCTGACATAGATAAAGAAATATATATGATGACTGCTTTGTTTTCTTTACTGACATTTCATTTAGACAATAAGAAATTATATTAATTTGATAAGTGTACAATTTATGATATAAGTATTATATGATTTATTCAACGATTTTATCCAGTTTGAATATATGATAATTGATCTCCTTTCTTAAGATAATATGAATTGCACTTGAAGCATCTTTGGTAACAGTTTTGATAAGTTTTTTCATGACTATATATAATTCAAAAAAGATTTCTGTTAATTACATTCTTGCAAATGCAGTTACCGCAGATTTCATAATATTTTTAGAGTAAAGAGGTAATGGCTAACAAATGATGAAAAAAACAACAATTCCCAAACAAGTAACACAAGAAATATGACAAATTCAAACTTACCCGTTCTCTTCCTTCTTTAGCTACTATGGCGAGCAAAACAGATAAGATAAAACATGTAAACAAAATCAAATGTAGTGGAGTCTATTTACGAAGTTGCATTTAGATAACAAGAAAGTGATTAACAACTCTAACATTGGTCACGATTATCGATTACTGTGCAAGTATATTCCCTTTTATCACATACCTATGATGGCTGATTTACGCCATATCATATTTTCGCTTCTTCGCCTCAAAATGCGAAAATGATCATGCTCTGTCGTATTTTCGCTTTTTCGCGTTCAAAATACAAAAATGCGAAAACACAAAGAGACGACAAAGTATTACTTTGTCGTCTCTTAGCATTTTCACCTTTTCGCATAGTTACATTTTCGATTATTACATTTTCGCATTGTTGCATTTTCGCTTTTTCGCATTGTTACATTTTCGCATTGTTATATTTTCGCATTTTCGCGTTCCGGTTGTACATGCGCATGGAGACATCAATTCATTATTTAATAGTCCTTTATAAGATATCTTGTATTCGCGTAGATGTATAATTAAAAAGTATCACCCCAATCCCAACACAGATAATATAACGTTAAGGCTTTCAGATTGTTTTGAATCAATTAATGCAACAATTGTTGTAATAAATACTGTAATTTGTTCTACTATCTCCAGATTATCAGTTTATTTTGCTGACGGGTGTGACATGAGATTAACGATAAAGGCACTGCCCGCAGACAGCTTAAAATAGAAATGTCTGAGATTGAAGTGTTCATTCACAGGAACACATTTTATAATGTCTGTCATTCTAGTACTAGATTTTTTAAGACATAGTTTATCTGATTATGAGTGCATGTTGGATAAAGTTGGATAAAGTTCATTAAAGGTTTTTATGATAATATATAAAATCATTTTTATTCATTATTACATTACACCATGTTGTCAGGCGTTCCTCAGGTCTTTAAAACAAAGATCTCTGGATGTTTATTCTGTCTTCCCCATATTGCACGAAAATCAATAAAAGGAGAACAATAAAAAATCATAGACAAGAAACATGGCAATGCCACGAAACCAGGTTTTCAATTATCTCCATTGTAGATAAATATGTTGTATTTGAAATACAAATGCAAGCAATAAACAATGTAACTATGTGCAATGTAAAACATGAATAATGTAGGAGGAATTGCCACAGAAGAAGTTTTCACTATATATTCTGTATAAGGAAAAAATATATTCAGTATAAGGAAAAAAACAAAGGGCCATAATTAGGTCAAAAATTATCCAATCACAAAACCTCTACAATATGCGCCAGGGCTCTTGATGACAAAGCTTCTGTGAAAGTTTGGTCAAAATCTGTTGAGAAATGTAGGACTAGTTCAGCACAGAAGAATTTGTTCACTATATATTGATTATTCTGCATAAGGAAAAAAAACAAAGGGGCATAATTAGATCAAATATTATCCAATCACAAAACCCTGACAATATGCGCCAGGGCACTTGATGACAAAGCTTCTGTGAAAGTTTGGTCAAAATCCGTTGAGAAATGTAGGAGAAGTTGCGCACGGTAAATTGTTCACTATATATTCTGTATAAGGAAAAAAAAACAAAGGGCCATAATTACGTCAAATATTATCCAATCACAAAACCCTGACAATATGCGACAGGGCACTTGATAACAAAGCTTCTGTGAAAGTTTGGTCAAAACCCGTTGAGAAATGTAGGAGAAGTTGCGCACGGTAAATTGTTCACTATATATTCTATATAAGGAAAAAAACAAAGGGCCATAATTAGGTCAAATATTATCCAATCACAAAACCCTGACAATATGTGCTAGGGCACTTGATAACAAAGCTTCTGAGAAAGTTTGGTCAAAATCTGTTGAGAAATGTAGGAGGAGTTGCGCACAGAAGAAATTGTTCACTATATATTCTATATAAGGAAAAAAACAAAGGGCCATAATTAGGTCAAATATAATTCAATCCCAAAACCCGGACAATATGTGCTAGGGCACTTGTTGACAAAGTTTCTGTGAAAGTTTGGTCAAAATCCGTTGAGAAATGATGGAGGAGTTGCGCACAGAAGAAATTGTTCACTATATATTCTTTATAAGAAAAAACAACAAAGGGCCATAATTAGGTCAAATATAATCCAATGGCAAAAACCCGACAATATACGTCAGGGCACTTGATGACAAAGCTTCTGTGAAAGTTTGGTCAAAATCCGTTGAGAAATGTAGGAGGAGTTGCGCACAGAAGAAATTGTTTACGACTTTGTCGTCTCTTCGTGTTATCGCTTTTTCACATTTTCGAGGCAACAAAGCGAAAATATGGCATGACGTAAATCAGCCACCATACATACCGCTTTTGCGACTTCGTAAATAAATAAAAATGGTATCACACAACCATGCCTATATTTTGACGTGACGCAATTTTCAATAGACGCGTTAAATGATAGCTTTATATTATTATTTTCACTGTAAACTTATCGTACGTTGGTTATGTGATAAATAGAATATTATATTCGTGCAAAGTCAATGCTGAATTCATTGGACTCGTAGGATAGAATAATAAAAAGTTCGCCAGAGACTCGCATAATATAATTTTATACAATTCGTTCAATAAATTAAGTAATGAATCTACACTCATTTTATATCCTCGATCTACTTTTTTTGACAGCTTATATAACGTATTAAGTGATAACACGTTACAAAATTCTGTAACATGAGTTAAATAGTAGTTGAACTGCACCCTGCGATTGACTAAAGAAACAAAACCATTACCTGTTAGTATACAATAGATAATATAATTATTTGAAAGCATTATGATTAGGCTGTTACTTTGTAAGAATATATCATTTTTTCATTTCAAATGTAGCATAAAATAAACAATTAACTTTAACTTTTTTTATTTAGATCTAAATCAACCTTCCGTATAAAAATACGAGTAAAAACAGTTACAGTTACCCTGTCAAAACTAATGCCATTTTATCTTAGTTCATGACGGTTTATTATTTGATTAATTTTAAATGTTAAGTTCTATTATTTATAACATCTTAGATGTTGATGTTTCAGTAACTGCGCATATTGTTTATTCATGTTTTTCATATTAGTGAAAAACAATTCAGTTGTTAAGTAAGTTAACCCGATTTACATTTTGTAACATCGTTAAGGAAATCCTTAAGATGACGTGAAGATAATTGAGCACACTTTTATCATTTCACTTAAAAGGTAAATACCATTTTAAAAGTTGACGTATTAAGTGACCCCTCTCGGTTCATCCAGTCCCTCCAATTTGTTTTTATGTCTTCCGCAGCAGTACCAAATAATAGGTCATTTCAGTGTATATAGAGTAGCTAGAAATTGTTTCGAGTTACTATGGTATTTATTTGTTTAACGTTATTGTGTACTCTTAAGATCAAATTGACATTTGTCTTCACCATTACTGTACATTCCCCGTTTGTCTTGCAAAATGTTTGTATCTTAACTAAAATTATAGCCGTAGTGCAACAAAACGAATGTACCTAGCACCGGCCAATTAGTGTTTAATCCTTAACTCTAAAATTTTAGAATAGCACAAGATGTTTCAAATACCATCACAAACAATAGATTTCGTATGACTCAAAAGGGATTAATAAAACGTAATGTGCAATTGTGCGAACCGGTCTCAAGTTCGAGCAAATATAATTGTATTTTAGGGAAATGACATAACAAACAAAGTTAAAAATCGGCAGCTTTCGTTTTGTAAATTCTTATAAAAATTCAATCATAAATAAAAATTAAACAATATTGGATTCAATTGGAACAATGTTCATAAGAAAGGAGGATGCCAATAGTTTACACTCATTGCATTCCAGTAAGAACAAAATTAATAGGTGTACATTGCAGACAGTGTCATTGTTCATTACAATTAGTTTTAACAGTAATTTATTTCTAACATTGAATGGTTTCAAATCATTGGTATTGAAGGGCCTGACTATACCAATAAGGTATGATTCACGCTTTACATTTTTTCAATACTCTTAATTTAGGCTAAAGTTCCGTTTACATTAACTGCTTTGATGGAAATTTTGGCCATTCGATAAACGATCGTTTATGAGGAAAACACCAAGTTTTCATAATTATTTAGCTAAGGATCGGAAAGGTTCGTTAGACAAGTTCGTTGAAAACTCTTTTTTTCACTACAATTTTGTTTAAAGCATGCTTTCTCGTTCCTCCACCAGTTAAGCTTGAAAGTCGCCATGGGACCTTTACAGTGTTGGTGCGAAGTAAAGCCAAACAAACAAATGCATGTTCTCTTGCTGTTTCAATTGAAAAATTAATTACTTTTTTGTATTATTCCAAATTTCTAGAACTCTTCTTCGCAACTTAAAAACATGTGTACATTTACAAATCCTGGTTATTGAAAATTGATAAGTGACAAAGTATTGATATCTAATTCCTTTACTATATTGTTTATAATAAACACAAATGTGATATAAAATGAATATTTATATTTATGAAGCGAAATTCTATTCATCAAATTCATCAAAAAGAAACATAATAACATCTGATGACACAAACTACAGCACATTTGAAGCACCGGAGAGTTGCATTGTGGTTTTTATTGGTTTGGTCATGAATGTTTGTAAGTCCATTAACTTCGAAAGTTTGAATATGTGTCGTACTGTTGTATGAAGTTAAGAACCACTTCATGGCAAAACTGATATTGTTCCTGGAACAAAAAAGAAGTTCTCAATAGAAAGCATTATCGAAAATATCATGATTTTTATAATAAACAATATACTACAAGACGGGGTTTACTATATTTAGAAAATATAAAGTTCATATGTTCAGGTATCTCCAAGGACTTAAATTGTGATTATAAATATCGTTTACCTGTATGATCAGGAATGTTACAAACAATTTATTCTTTATAAGCGATGAACTGTACTTAACAGGGGACTACTTAGAGAAGAAATGATCTCCTTTAAAACATTTTGTTTAGTACATTTATTATAACGACGTAGTTGACGTTGACGTACTGGATTCGTCGTAATTTATCATTTTAACAGCCTTTAACTTAGCGTAAAGTCATCAAACCTTAAATTGAACTTTGCGGTAACTGATAAGATGGCAAATTGATATCGAAACATATTGACACATTTTTTTACCATTTTTAAAGCAGTGTTCAGTTATTAGCAATTGTATGTATAAGATATTTCTGGAAAATAAATCATCGTAATAATAGACTGTTAATATTCGTAATCTTTGATTCGCAGTAAGGCATCAGAGATACCTATTCAAATGATTATATTCAAAACGTTTGAAACTATATATCAGAAGGTACGGATATGAGGAATTGTCTGAACTTTTAATTAAGTTTTAATTACCACGTGTGAAACTATTCGCGAGTGAATTCGAATAATTTGCTCTATAGGTGACATTAATACTTACTAAACAGGGAATAATTTGTTCCCTAGCGTTTCTCATTTCTTCTACAACAGACGCTATAGCAACATCTTGTTCAATCTTCATACGTTCTATGACTGATGATATGACACAAAATAAACCACTTCTATCTGCTCCATTCCTGTTGACAAATGAGCACATATACGTACAATGTATAATAAAACACAGTAAATAGTAAAAAAGTAATCATAAAACAAATAATCCACTTCATTTTGCTTGATTGGAAACTGCTTATATTGAATAAGTATTTGAGTGACCAAGATTTTGTTTTATATTTTATCTAATATATTATTGTGTTTTGTTTGTATTTCTCCTTGTCAGTCAAAATCGCTAATGTCTCATAATAACATTCTAGCGGTACTATGAACTTGGTTAGACACACTGACTATAATTAAAGTTAACTAAAATAACTTCCTTACAAAGCAATATTCGGAATTGAAGTAAGTGTGAAAAGGAAAGCAAGCTGTTACCGACCACACATGCGCTTTCAAAAACAAATGAACACATTATTTCATAATATTTATATAATATTATATATGTAAGTTTTGGTATGACCTAGTTCGACACATACGACAAGAATAACGGAGAAGACGTGATTGATATTCATTGGATAGATGAAAATTGTACAAAAGTATGAGAGAATATCGTTCAAAAGGATAACAAGACCCACATGCAGTGAACAAGAATTTTATGATTTCCCGTTTGTTGTTGCCATGCCCGCACGGTTTCTAGCAAGGACAATATAGTGTCTGGCGAATCAGGTAATACATTGCCTTTTCTCCACCCTCCACATCGTATTTGTTTGATACGCCGTGTCTGCAAATAGAAGATAATATAGGAAAGTGGTTGAAATTAGTTTTGTTTCAAACCAAATAGGTTTTCAGTAGAGATCATTAAAACATTAATTACATTTTCTACTGTTACAGCTACAGTCCTACTTAATGAAATCATATTTTGCGAAAAACACATGAATATGGATTAAACATATATAAACAATTGAAGAATCCACAGGAACACCACCTCCTTGTAGTTAAGAGGTTTACGGGTTGAGGCATCAGAATTGCAACTACCGTTTAACTCTACGTCATGCGTGATGGTTAGAGGTAACTTAATTGGTTTTGATTATGCATCCCTCAACTCCAACGAATGAGGTGGTTTTGAGCCCCAGGTGTTGCTTAAAGTTTGTAACACCCGAGGTTATTCAAAACCATCTTTCCTGTTTCGGCGCCCTTTGACCTAAACTGGATGGTGCGTAATAAAACCAACCAAACACTCAAAACAGATATACCAAAATCAGATTATACAGCGAGTGAAAGTTGTGACATTATTTGCGAAAATCCTTCTCATTTTATTCAATACTAGTATATAATTATAGTTAAACGATCAAAGATGTGATTCAAAGATCAAGAGTTTAAAAGTTTACCGTGTCATTTTTCTTCAGGGACAGCGTCAAAACGATATGATTACTGGCCGTATCAGTTGATTCTTTTGAAACATGAATGTTTCCGAAAACAGTTGTTTTCCCCTCAGGCCAATATTTCTCGTCATTCTAAACAAAATCAGATACATGTGTTTTTTTTTTTTAAATGTACTCAGTGTAAAAAGATGAAAAATTATTTTGTACTAGTAGGCTTTCGGTTATTCTAGATATTTTGACACCGACAAAATAATGTAAATCGCTAGTTGACATATATGAATGTTACAAATGTCTTCTGAACTTATATCTAGCATTTACCAAGAAACACAGCAACGAACAGGAGACGTGAATAACGTTTAAAAATTTAAAACCATTGAATAGTTCTTGAAACAAGTAATTTTCAATTTGTTTTTGTGCATATTGATTATTAAAAACTTCATTCAACGAAGCCCTTTAACGTCACAATGGCATGAAATCTTTTAAATGCAATTTATTAGTGAATGGATAACCTCTATCTCATCAGTGCTGTTCAACATGACAATTGTGTGAACTTCTTGTTCCCAGGCAAGCATCCAGAATTCTTCTCGTGTACTTTTCAAAGGCGATTGTGTTATGATAAATGCATTCTTCTCGTTGTAACTCTTTATAAACAGAAAAAAATATAATATGGTCGATTTTATTTGTAAATAATGTTCTAAAATCCTTAACCTGAAAAATGTACAACTTTCATATTTATTTTTCTCAAACAACACATTTTAAAATCTATTTGAAAGGGTTATAAGAATGATGTTCCCTTAAAAAGGGGAATTTTTTTTACTTTTTTTACAAAAAGGGGACTTTTAACAAACTCTTTAACCCTTTTTTTTTTGTTTTAAAAGTGACCGTTTGGGGGAACAAAACATCTATAGGGTTTAAAGTCGATTTTATTTTTTAAAAAAGTGTAAAAAAACCCATATAAGGGAAACAAATTTGGGAAAATTTCAAAACTTTAAACAAAACTTTTTAAAGGGAAAAAGTGTTTTTCCCAAAACCCATTAAAATAAGACAAATTTTACAAAAAAAGCGGGTAAAAAATTAAGGGAAACCTTTTACTAATTTTTCCCACGATTTTTCAAGAAAAAAAGGAAACTCTTTTTTTGCCCTTTTATGGAAAGTTTGGGAATTTTCGTTGTATTCAAAAAACACTTTCATCAAGTTTTTCTTTAAATTTAAAAGGTATAAACTAACAAAGTAGAAAGAAACATCCAAAAACAGGGTATCTATTTTTACGAAAGGACTATAAAACAGATTTGCCCGAGTGTTTTTAATTTCTTTCTCCTTTGTATCATAGGCAAAATTAAAACAATTGCCTTGTCGTAAAAATATGAGAACTCAACCAATGTACCAGCATATGCATATGACTTTTTGATTATCATCCCTTTCACTGTCGTCACAATAAGTAAACCCAAAAAAGAAATATAGTTATTCAATAAGCATGATCTATTTTTTATCTCCAACAGACAGTGCAGTAACTGGGGTGCGGGTCACTAATACAATTTACCATGTAACTGCAATCCTGTTAAAGCAACGTGCATTAATAGGTATACGTGTTATTTCGGACACATTTATCTTAAATAAGATACAAGCATTTAAATAATCAGCAAGGGAGATAACTATAATAACCTCTGCAGATCAAAACAATCGCAAGTTAGAGAAATTTATACTGCTGTCTTGTAATTACAAATCGTTTGAAGTTCTGTTCTTTATTTATAATAACTCCAGTTTATTCTTATTATGGTGATGTGTTTTAACGTGAAAAGTTCACAATATTATGGGGAAAACTCAACGTACATATGCTCACTTGTCTAAACGCCTATCTCTTTATTTCGCGAAATAAATATTTTAATGACTGCAGTTAATTTGCTTTAACGTCATGAAATTAAATCTAATGAGATTTGTTTAAATTTATAAACCATTGCGATAAAATTATGCTGTGGCCACAATCTCGAATGTTGTAACAAAGACTGTTTCTGTTGTCTAACACACATAAAAGATATGCGTTAACAGAATAAAACTTTGAACAAAATATCATGCTGCAATAAGTTGAAATAATATTATGCACGCGGCATTAACTCAAAAGCAAATGTACTCACATATTTCTTTGGAATTATGCCTTTTCAAAACTGAAACAAACAATGTTAATTGCAGGCAACCGAGATATAGTTTTATTCACTTCTATAAATCTCAATGTAAAAAACGAACTATTACCGGCAAGAACACGGCATTGATATAGACAGGTTTCCCATCATCTCTTGTTACGAACGGCATAAAATCCTCAACTGCAAATTAAAATGATACAATTATATTCGAAATGTTCTTATTATTTCAGCATTCTTAATCAAAAGGATCTTTTTACCAAATAGTACCATTAAACAGATTATCGCGGTTTGTTTGAAATGCAATTGTAATATTATACATACAGCTTGATGATAGTCAAAGTTATGCCGGTGATAAAGGGAAAAATCTCTTATATACGAGCATAAAGGAAGAATTAAACAGAGTAACCAAGCCGAAAAATCATTAAAGATATAAATCTGTGTTACAACATGCGATATGTAATTCATTTGTCGTTCAATCAATTTGGGTCAAGCCCGACAGGACTGGTGATTTTCTTCCTTGTAGAATGTTATTCACAGAAAAGGGTGATAAATTCGCAAAATTGGTTCATCTAAAACTGTGAGTAAATACACTCGACAAGTTATTGATTTCCAGTAGAAAACCCGGGTATTGTGAAATTTTAAATTTGATAATTTTTTTAAAGTCGGATAACCTTTGGGGAATTTGCAAATTTTGACATAAATTTTTAAAGATAAGAATCAGAGGGCATGTTTTAATAAAATTTTTGTACTTTCCCCTTTAAAGCACGTTATTAAGTGGTAGATATGTTTTTTAAAATAACAGTGTTTTTGCTAAAACATAAATTTTTTTAAAAAACTCTTTTTTACCTGGAAAGAACGTTAGGGTCCTGTTTCTTTGGTCTTTTTTCAACAAGGCTTTGCTGAAAAGTACAGACTGTCTTCAGATGGGGCAAAACTCTTTGAAGTTTTCTTTAAGATAAAAAGGGGGAATAATAGTAAATGAATTCAAAAATACTTCTAAAAGAAAATACACCTTTTTATGTTTTTCCCCTTAAAGGTTGAAGTTAATGTTCATTTCATATTTTATAGAAACAAAAGATAGGTTCCCAACATAAAACAGAGGGCCTCATAAGAGATTTTTTGCAAAACTTTGGATAGAAATTTATAAATTAAGTTTTGAAAATACCAAAAATTTAAAAATTTATTCGAAAGAAAAGGGCCCACATACCTCAAAATCATGAAAATTTCTCTTTTTAAAATTTTTTTTGTGGTCTCTTTTTTGAATTTTCACAATATCGTTTTTAAAATTTCGTTGCAAATTTTTTGAGGGCTGACATCCATTGGGGGATTAAACCCAAATGCCGGTGAAAAAAATTTAATACGGGGCCCCATTCAAACAAAAAACAAAGGGTAAAAAAACCCTTTTAAAAAAGGTTTTTCCCAAAAGTAAAAACTGTAATGATTTTAAAACAGCATAAATTTTGGTATCAGTTGCTTTTTTTAACAAAGTTACTTTTAAAAGATGTCATCCCAAAAAGACGATTCCCTTTTGATGTTTTATTATTTGAGGGACGAAAATTATACCAAATTGCAAACTGGAAAAAAAGTTTTTCCGAGTTTTAATATAGCCCAATAAATTTAAAGCTTGTGTGCAAAATTTTAACAATCATTTGCTCACTCCTTTTTTCCAAAAAATGATAATTCCAAAGGGTGAAAAAAATAACCTTAAAACTGAAAGAGTTGAAAAGTTTTTAAACTCAAATTGGGGCGAAGAAAACCCCAAAAAAAAGTTTTTTAATTTTAAATTGTTAGAAATTTTTTATTTTTTCTTTTAAATATTTTTTCAAATTTTAAAAATTCCCCCTTCGTTGGATCAAACAAAAAAATTCAAAACTTATTTTTCCCTTTTGATTTAAAGTGGAGTTCCGTTAATTAACGTAATTTGCACAAGCATATTTCACCGTTTGTAAATTTTTTCAGACAACGCGTAAGTGAACAAAATAAAACATTTAAAATGTAAAACATGTGTAGAGATAACGCAGACTGATCACATAAAGTAAACAGTTGTTACTTGTCTAAACGATTTTGATAAATTTTATTGCAAAAGAAAATTCGTATGCATTTACGTAAAACATTTACAAATTCAGTTAGAAGCAAATATCTAGAAGTTATATATTATTTTCTTAATGTTAATTGCATAAGATGAAGGCAATGTACATATAATTTCAATAATAACAAAATGCGTGAGAATAGAGTAAAATTATCATGTTTGCTTAGTTAAGTATTTTACGACACATTGGCAAACGCGTTATCTATCAAAATACAAAAAATGAATGTAACTAATGCAATTGGACAAAATCCTTATGAATAACTTGAAAGTAGCTTTGCTCTCATTTGTGGAATTTCGCATATTTGTGTATAAATTATTCAATTTCCTTCTATTAAATTATTGATAATCATAAGTTCAAGAAGTTTATACAATACAAGTTTGCTAACTTAAAGTATAATTAATTCGTCTGTATTAATTACCAATGTTTGCACAAGACTAACTCTCTGCCTTCTTAGAGAATCAACACACCCAGCAACATCTACGTATCCAAGTGTTTTCCCCTGGTCTGTCAGATAGTCTAGGGCGATATAGGTTCCAGTTCTTCCCACTCCAGCACTTGATAAAGCAATGACATGATATAGCTAAATTGGAAAACTTCACAGAAAACACAGCAAAGCAAAAAATAGCAAATTCATGGATGATAGACATTGATACAAGCTATCACCCTTGCCTCCTGTCTGGGAAAGTAATCGGGAATTTTTGATAAAAAGCTTAGAGAAGAATTCCTTTTTACTATATAAGCAGATATTTTTAAGGTTACTTTTAAAACATAATATATTTCAATAGTTAATAGAAAGATAATTAACACAATCATAAGCGTATAGCATTGCACTTCATATTTTATAAATCAATATAAGATTTATTATTGTAACTTGCAATTCTTATCTAATACAATGTTATATACATCGAATTTACCTGCAATGTACAATAATCGGACCACTACCGTGAGTAGGAGCATTGTTCACCTTTTTCAAAAAGTGAACTAGTGCAGATGCATATCTTGGAATACCTTTGTCAGGCCATACCGTAAAATGAAACTGAGTTACCATCTTTTCAGCGGGGATTCATTTTATTTACACTGTCTCGTTTATAGGAACATGGTGGGGCTAAGAGCGAGGTTTGGTGCACCATTAACCGGTTTAAACTCCCCAGCAGTCATTATTATACTGCTGACCGTTCCAAGGCGGCGCCCCACTGTGTTCCTCAGATGTATGTCTTATGTTGTTTCATACTGTTTTGGTGACACTTTTGCTTGTGTCCCTTGTTGTTTTCTCGTCTACGGTAAGTATCTTCCCCATTGCCTCTAGTTTTTATTTCTTTGATTACTCCCCATCCCCTCCCCCGGTCTCCTGTCCCCTTCCCCTTTGTGGGCCTATTTTTATTTTCTTTGAATTCCTAATCAGTTACAAATTTATTATCATTTAATGATTAACCTGTCCGTGCTCTGTCTTTGCCCTGCCCTGTTTTTGTTTGGGGTCCCCCTGGGCTCCTTGCCATTGGTTCTTGTTGCTGGGTCATGTGGGGGTTGCGTTCATTGAACGCCGCCTTTCCTTGTTGATCTTGTTTATCATATTTTACCCTTTACAAATGGAAAAAACAAAACAGAACAACGAATTTACATAAAAGAAAATTCCAAGAAAAAAAGAAAAGAAAGAAATGATTAAATATCACATTCATTATTTGTTTTATTTACATGATTCTATGGTAAATTTCAAAGCGATATTATAAGTAATAAGATTGTGACCAGTTGCATGGCGCTTATCAAACCAAATAAAATATACAAAGGCTAGTCAACAATTAGTGTAATGCCAAATACACAAATAAAATTGTTTGCAATGTAATGATCTATGGACGTGCGCATTTGGATTTTTAAAATAGAAATTGATTCATAAACAGCTATTTATCAAAGAAAATATTAGAGTCATAATAATCCAATTGACGCTCCAAACATTCAATATTATTAAATAAGCTGTTCAAATTATTATTATAGCTTGACATTACCTTTTTAACCGATAGAGTCCTTATATCAAACTGGGAGTGTGTTTCCACCTTTTTAAGGCAAATCTTCAAACTTCCAAAAGATTCCTCCATGTCATCAGGCCAGTACTTTATGCACTTATTCTGTAAATAAGGATCAACAAAGGAGGGCAAACTTCATTGCGAGCAGTCTAAAATGTCAATCCCCTTTGAAAACTACAAAAAGGTATTTAGCTTGTCTGTTCAAAAAAACGAATGAAAGGAACTACGGCAGAGAAGTAAACTGTATCAATTAAACACAATCATGTAAATGAAATTATGACATTTTTGTACATCATATAAGAACTGTCAACCCATATACCTTTCCCTCTTCTATTAAGTTTGTCAGCATTACAATTTTGCTGGTGTCCTCCTGCCAAACCATCCACCAGAAGTCCGCCACAGTGTTCTTTGTTGGTCCTGAAATTTATCTTTCGAATGTGAGAGTTGAAAAAATATTATAAATGGCGTGAACTTTAAAAAGCAACTACTTATTCATTTAAATGGGAAAATGACTTATGAAAAAGTGTTTAGAATTAAAGGTCAATGTAATATTTTTAAGTTTTGTTTTACCTTGCGTCGCTATATATTTTCTTGATTTATTGAAACCCTGTAAAAAGAAATTTCTATATGGTTACAAATATTGTCCACAAGTATGGCTTATAATGCTATACCTCCTTCTATTTAAGTTGTCAAGTCATGGCCTTTATATAAAACTAATAATTCTTCTAAGAGGAAACTATAAAACACAGAGTCATTTAAAGAATGTAAGACAATTGTATGATATTTGGTAATGAAAAAGGTACTGGTTTTATTATTTATACTGGAAAAGTGTACATTTGATAAAAATTGTTCCTTTGCTTTTTCTGTTCTGTAACTTGATTATATTAAAATATAAGGTATCAACAATATGTGATGCCGCTGGTAGACGGTTAGCCTTTGTAAATAATGGGAAAACTAATACATCATTTTAATATGCTAATTATTCTTAACGAAGAGATAAACAAGATAGATACGAACATGTACATAACATGCGTTAATATAATCCGTGCTTGAATCCTCATCTGTGTTTAGAACAACTCGTGTGTCATCATCTTTTTTAAAACAAATGGGAATACTTTTTTAATAACATTAATAACATACTAATTCAAACAAAACATCAGTTCACTTAATTTTGAAGAAATTGGGTTTTTCATCATTTTTTTAATCCGTTAATATTTTCTTTTTCTGACCATATTGTTGCTCAGTCATTACCTGTTGTGTTTTTTAGTTCTTGATTCTTGTTTGTCTTTTAAATATTATGTTGTTTGCAAATGCTGATATATTACGTTATCATTGGATGATATTTTTAAAGTAATTTATTTATAACTTTAATATCAAAATATAATTTTGAAAATTACTGTTTACTTACAAGCATAAAGTCTCGTATATCTATTCTTCCCTTTGTTTTCTAACTTGACAGCTTCAGAAAAGTTTTCAACCATACCTTGTGGTAGAGCCTTAATAATAATTATACAGTTAATTGTTTAATGGAGAAACCAAATGTTCATATTTCAAAGACAAAATTGACTGATTGAACTAACGAGTACATGTAATTATTTACCTGTAAGATTGCTTTCCAAAGATTCTTGTTTTATAGTCATTGATTAATTGGAAATTAAATAACTTGTTACATTTGGTTCTGAAAATATATATCATTTTGTTTAAGGCGCATGACATTTCAATTGCTTTGAAAAACATTTACTACTGATCCGTGTTCCCTTTAAGTTTTGAAAAACTTATTATAAATTTCTCCTGCAGAAAAAAAGAAATAATAATTGTACCAATTATTACGAATACGATTAGACATCATCTTTACAATTTGTGTTTCAAATGTGAAACAAATGTCAAATAAAGTTTAAATAATGAACGTCCTTAAAAATTTATAAATTGTACCTTAAACTGAGTTTCAAATATTTTATTCCCATTATTTCCATTAAACACAACATCTTGAAGATCATCTATTTTTATTGCTGTTTTAGGCAAAGATTCGGAGTTCCTAAAGTCATAGTAGGTTTGGTTGCCGGAATCTCCAACTGTTGTATTGATATATACTCTATTTGTGTTCCTTGATGTATCTGCCATTCCTATCTGTGTACGTTCTGTTCATACAAATGCTTTTATTAAACCATTTGGTAGGGCTTTGTTTAGTGTTATAAATTTAATTACAAAAATCGCTAAGCATCAAGAAAAGTTGTCGACTGCTTAACATGTAAACATATAAAGAATAAATAAAGAACAGATCATCACAAACGACAATGAGCAATCCCTTTATTTTTCCGTTTCAACATAGACATCATTGAACAGTCCCATCATTTTCTAGTGTCCCATTTATATTACTATAATTGATATTGAAGAGTCCCATTATTTTCTAGTGTCCCATATACATGTATATATCATCATAGATGACATTGAAGAGCCCCATTATTTTCTAGTGTCGATATATCAAAATCGATTATATTGAGAAGTCCCAATTTTTCAAGTGTCCTATTTATATCACCATAGATGATATTGAAGAGTCCCATTATTTTCTAGTGTTCCATATCATCAAAAAATGACATTAAAAAGTTCCATTATTTTCTAGGGTCCCATATATATAATCATAGATGACATTGAAGAGTCCCATTATCTTTTAGAGTCACATACTGTACAGAAAAAACGTTTTAGTGTCTAAAGTTACTATTTACTAAATAGTTCATGCTAAATTAATGAGATGATATATATCTTTTATTGATGGACATTTGATTTTAAAACCTGAAGATGTGGTGATCGTCCGAGAGCAATTACGTCGTTACATGAGCGATACTAAAACAGGATTAAGTGGTAATTAACACATTGAATATTGGAATCAATTATCCTGAAGAGTCAGAAAGTTATAATAATACTGGCAGAAATGAAAGAGGATGCACCATGTAGCGTACATGTCATTACTTCCTTCAAAAAACAACTTCTATTTAAATTGGTACCACCATAGACATGTATCTTATTTTAGTTGTATTTCAACCATTTAAAGAACACTCAATACAAATAGAAAAGTAAACCTGTAACAATATTCGTTTCCTGGCCATCAATGAATATTTCCAGGTCAGTTGCATGTGTAAGAGAACTTCTAAATGACTGCCTTTCATCGTCAGATTTTTTTCGCCTAAAAATATTTCGCCTGTAGAAATAATGCAAATTATCTATTACTTGCAACAATACATGTATTTCAAATGCATTTGCAAACACATCATTAATAAGAATTTATGTACCCGGGGATAAATGAAGACTATCTTCTTGTTGTTCATTCTTTATTATCGTGAGACATACAAAACGAGCCTACAAACAAAATACAAGTCAACTACAAATAATTAACAAAACAATGAATAACACATTTAATTGAAAGGAATATGGTACTACAAATATGTTAATGAAATAGATAAACTCTTACCAGGATCATCAAAGTATCTTAAGTTAATATAAAGTAACTTTTTCACCCATACTTTAGTAAGTCATTTAGGTTACTCGTATTAAGTTGAACTGGCAAAGGGAAATATCTTACGTAAGCAAGAATTTGTTTCGCCGGGATTTTAGGGTCATGCACGTGAAATTTTAGTGAATACATTTATAAAACCTTTCAATTTACAGTGAACTCCCTTACGAAACAGTCTGCACAATAATATTACTACAATAAGGCAATCAAAAGAAAACACAACAGGCAACTACAAAACAAGGAGGCTACAACATACCAGTGATAAACAGAAATTGATACACAGGTTACATTTATATTGAAAAAAGAACAACGAGTCATTAATGTGTGTAAGCTATATGTAAAGTGTTTTAAAAGTGATGAGTAGGAAATTAACAAACAAAACACTGATAATAAACCATTAATTTTACCTTTTCAAAATGATAAATGTGACAAAGACTCCAGATCCTATGATAAAGACTACACCACAAATGGCACCTATTAATGCATCTGAATTCGTATTTTCGGCGTCGTTTTCCCCAGTTTGCTCTTGTTTGATGTCTTTAAGTACACCTTAAACGATATTGATTTAAAAAAAACCCTGTAAACTTACATTAAAAAATTCATATTTTTGAAAATTAGAAGATAAGTTTAAGTAAATTTTGAAAATATTAGAAAGGCAATATATTTATTCAATATAATTTAAACCATTAAAACGGTTTAACACACGTATGCACACTATATATTAAGAGATGAAAAATGTTAACTTTTCGGAATTTACTAAGATTACAAACACTGATATCTATTTTTTATCAATAGAATGTTTAAACAAAAATTGCAATAGTCACCACATAAATGTTTGTTATCAGACCATACACCATTTTCCGAACATCTTATATCTTGTGTCTTGTTTAGGCAAGAATATTTGGAATTATTGCAGACAAAAAGTAGTGTAGTGTTATACGAGAATTCTACAGCAGGAACCTCCGATGTCGTTATGTTTGAAGAATAGTATCCACAGGGTGTCTCTTTTGGTTTAGTACACGTTATAGGCGAGCATTTTGGTTTTGTTCCACTCCATGTTCCAATATCATGACAGCGCCTTTTTGATGTCCCAGACGTTAAATTATATCCAATATGACAATGAAAAGTTATGGTTTTGTTAAACTTTATCTTATTCAGCGTTAGCACTTTACCTGTGTCATCCATATAAGTCCCATTTGATTCAGGAAAAGGTTTAGAACAAAATATTTCCTCACATATTGGGGTTTCATCGGTCCAACTATTTGAATAATTACATGTTCTTTGTGGATGCGTTCGCAGAATATAACCCTCATTGCAATGAACCAATATTTGTTCCTTATATCCAACTATTCCATATCTGGGAATTTCGTTGCTTTTTAAGTGATATTAGCCATTGCCAAATTTTGGAGGAATATCACATGTGATGTTAGTACAAGCCGGTTTTGACCCGGACCAAGACCCATTTTCATTACAGTCCAACGTGCTATTTTCACTTATAGTAAACCCTTCCTTACAAGAAACTAAGATCGTCGTTCCATAGGGCACATTTAATCCTGTATAGGGATGATTAGCATTGTTATTTCTCAACATGTAAATACCGTTTTTTATTTCTCCTGGATTTGTGCAATTCACAATTTGACATCCATTACCTTTATTAGGGTGCCATTGGCCTCCCTCTTTACATATGATGTAATCATTTTCTTTTGAAGAATATCCCTTTTTACACTTAAAAAAGAGCTTGTCTCCAATTTGAATTATCTTTGATGAAGAATCAGAACCATCAGAAAAGATATACCTGTCATTTGGCGGAATGACATGAGGTGGATGACATAAAGCAGGAACACATTTCGGAACACTGTCACTCCAGTTACCGTTACTTAGACACTCTCTTATTTTACTCCCTTGCAATACAAAGGTTTTATGACAGTGTGATGTAATTTGTTCCGTAACTGCTTTCCCACTGCTTGTGTAAGGCATATTCGTTTTATCTAAATAGTAACCATTTTTGAGATCTCCGGGATATGGACAACAACTTATGCATTTTGGTATTGTGCTATCACTAAAGTTCTTAACTGATCTGAAGTATATGTTGTCAGGGCCTTCTAATGTAAAGTTTGATTCACATGAAAAACTGAGAACACGTCCTGACAGAACTTTAAACTCACTCGGGATCATTATCAAGTTATTTATTGATTGGTAATCATACGTGTAACATGCAGCTGGAAATCAAAAAGGTACAAGTTTGGTTCGTGTTGTTTATCGAAATTGAAATGAATAAATAGAAATAAAAAAGAAAGGGTAATAATGTCAAGTTACGATGCCATGTATTTAAATAAACAACTTAAGTTAGCTAGCTTCTTTTTAATACAATGTTAGTGTTACGTTGAAGCATAGAAAAAAGAATTTACATGCAAATCATAACCCCAAACATAGAAATTGTGTCTTACCTGTGTCTACAGTAAGACATGAAACTGAAACTGTGTCGTTATAATTTCCATCTTCCTGACACCGCAAATAAGTGCAAAAAGTATCTGACCATATATAAATAACACTTCCTATCTCATTGAAATTCCCTAAGTGACTCTTCGTTCCATTTAAAAAGTAGCCTTTACATCCATTTCTTGGAGTTAAAAGGGGACACCCTTTTGCTACATATAAAGGTTTAAAATAAATACAACTCGTTAACGTTCATATATCTGCACCTTTTTTCATAAGATAAATTTAATATATCATATCATTTAATATCATTTTATTATAGTACACAAGCCTATTGCACTCGTCCACCAAAACCCAATAATGTCCTTTTATATTTATTTGAGGCATAGTAGCTCTTTTAAAGAAAATTTCAATTAAATTTATCTTAGGAGCTTGAATGAGCAGATCCATATACGTCTTTTTTCTTCAACAGAAACCGATCAGCAAGTACTTTTTTAAATTAGAATAAACTGGTCGAATAGTTTTAAGTTCGGCGTTCTTCACTAAGTTAAATGATCGTTTCACCCCTTTGCTTCTTTATGATAATAGAAAACAGCAATTATATTATTCTGTTAAGGGATGATGAAATAAATTGAAAAATGTTTTGAAAGCATATTTCATGCCCAACGAGATGCATTGGGTACTTGCAAGCCAATCTTAAAATGGTACAGTGGAACCTCTCTAATCCAAACTCGTCCGGACCAGAAGAAAAGTTCGGATTAGAAAGGTTTCCGGATGAGAAGGTGTTTTACATGTTTCTTCATGTTATTTGCAGAATAGTTCAAAGAAAGAAAACGGAAATGCATTTGAAATTTTATATAAATATATTATTTTTGCAATCTCTTATCGTTCGTGAATACAAAAATAAATAAATAAAAATAAATTAATTAATAAACAAAAATGTCATGTCCTCAATGTTAAGTTAACATACTATGTTATACAGGTGGCTGAGACAGGATTAAATTTCGTACCAGCATTTGGTGTTTACTCGTATTCGATTCAGCGATTATCCGAATTAACTGACAGTTTCCATTAATTTCCGTTACTTAGTCTCGTGTCATTAAATTCATTACAAAAGATTAAAAGATACAAATATATAAAGCTTATAGATTACCTTGTTGTGTGTGTACTACTATTTTTTCTTTCATCAAAAATGCTACGACAAACAGCTCTAATGTAAGAAACACAGCCATATCAAAGTCCAAGATCTCAACTTCAACAACAAATTTAGCGTCAAAATGATTATTGTTGTTAAAGAAATTTCCTGAAAAGAAAAGTCCTTCAGAAACGAATATGTTCCAAACATTTGTCGATTCAAAGATGCAAGAAATTTATTGCTCAAATAATATTCACAAATCCAGTTTTGACAGCAGGAATTTTGTGGTTTCAATGACATTTTATAATTAAGGAATGGTGAATTGCATGATCAAGTCAATGAAAATGATTGTTTGTTTTATAAAATATGCACTATAATGGCAATTATTTGTAGTAGTTTTACTTCATTCGTGTTACTGTTACATAGTTTACGGTGACAGTTATAATAAATTTATTATGTTCGCAATTTGTTTGGTCATTTGCTTCTTTACATTTTAGTTTAATTATTTTTCATGCACAATTAAAACAACTTGTACGTCTTTGCCAAAATATGGGCATACTATTATATAATGATGCTCAAATGAATATGCATAATTATCATTTTAAGAATTTGATAAGTGTGTATGTGAACGTTTGGGAAATTGCTGCAACGAGTACTAATAGAGATAGATAACCAATTTCATTTTCAGATTTGAATAATATGAATACTTGGAAAATAATCACTTATCTTTATTCAGGTATGAATCAAATCAACAATACAATTTTAATTTTTCTTTTAAATCAATCTGACATGTTAAGAAACTGCTTATCATCAAAGTCAGTTATAAGGAGCCCCAAAGGTGACATTTTCGACACTTTTTTCCCGGCATTTAATTCGTTTTTACAAACTATTAGTTCGTAATAACGAAATATTAATTCGTTTTTACAAAATAATAATTCGTTTTTACGAAATATTAATTCGCTTTTACGAAATATTAATTCGCTTTTACGAAATCTTAATTCGTTTTTACAAACTATTAGTTCGTAATGACGAAATATTAATTCGTTTTTACAAAATAATAATTCGTTTTTACGAAATATTAATTCGCTTTTACTAAACATAAATTCGTTTTTACGAAATCTTATTAAAGGCCATTGTGAGCTTCACAAAGAACCTACTTATCTCACAAAGGGGTCATTTACAAGCCTGGATCAAACTTGCGATTATAAGCCGAATGATTCTCAGGTTATTATATTTAAGTGAACAGGGTTTTTGAGTGAGAAGTCATTCTCTAACTAAAATATGCTTTTTTTCCATTGTTTAATACATGTTCCTATCAGCAATGTTTTAATTTTGAGGCAATTAATCTTTTCTGACATGTTTCTTTTAAAAAGAAATATGCTATATTATTACTTTCTTTTATCATATAATTTAGTAAAACTAAAGGAGCTGGGGCCCCAGATTTTCACTAATCTAATCAATTTAAAAAAGTATATTTCCTTACAATTTATGTATGGGCACCGTGCGATCATAAAAACATAATATTTTATTTCAAATCTCAATAATATCGACAAAACAAAACAGAAAACAATGTCCGTGCACAGGACCCCCATTTTAACAAAAAATTTCCTAGCGCGTGTACTATCACGGCTGTGGCGGCAACGCTATTGACAGGCGATTATTTAAATTCATATACAATAGTGTTGAGCTATAAAACTTGGGGAGAAAAAATATCACTATTTATATTGCAGTTACATGCCTTATATTTAGTCAGGTACTTAGTTTCGATGCCTTCTTTATAAAATTTACAAAAACTCATTGAAACCTTAGAAAAAAATTAATTTGTTTTAACGAAATATTATTTCGTATTCATGAACTATTATTTCGTAATTACGAAATAACATTTCGTTTCATATTAACAAATTAATATTTCGTAAAAGCGAATTAATATTTCGTAATTACGAATTTATATTTCGTAATTACGAAGTATTATTTAATTTTACCCATGACATATGGTGCTATATCAGTCAAATATATTTCATATTTTTTAAAAATAAATATGAAATATAAATATGAAAGTGGGCGGAGTCAAAACTCATATTTATTTTAAGGGACTTCTTTCGCCGTTTTGTTTGAAAAATCTGATAAATACAAAACAACTTTTTCTTGAATATTGTTTTGAAAACTATCTAGCATGATAGAAAATGGTCTAACTAAGAAAATTAATCCGAACACCAATATCTTTAATTCAGTAATTAACGCTGTACAGACGTTTAAAGAGTTGTTTACATGACGTCACAATGTAGCGCCAAACAGCGCGTGCTTACGTATAAATTACTGCGCGCTTACGTATAGGGGAGGTAATGTCCCCTCTACTTTTTGCAATGTTTGTTGAGGATCTAGAATTGCAACTACAATCGCCCGAAAGCCCTGGTATATGTATAGACGACATAGTTTTAATTTTGTTGTTGTTTGCAGATGATATGGTCATTCTAGGAAAGACTCCTGCGGAATTGCAAAAAAGTTTAGATCTTTTACACACATATTGTGATACCTGGGGTTTGGAGGTAAACGCGGAGAAAACAAAAATTATGGTGTTTAGAAAGCGCAGAGTTTATTTACCTAACGAGAGTTGGACCTACAATGGCCATAACATTGAAAATGTAAATGATTTTAATTATCTTGGAACGGTGTTTAACTACACCGGTAATTTTTCAATGAATCAGGAGCACTTATCAGGTAAAGCTTTAAAGGCACTGAATGTGCTCTTGGTAAAATGTAATAAGTTTAAATTAAAACCCTTACTGTTATGTCAGTTATTTGACGCATTTGTTGGTGCTATATTGAACTATTCATCAGAACTATGGGGTTACACAAAATCAAAGGTAATTGAAAGAATCCATCTTAAGTTTTGCAAACGTATTTTAAATGTTAGAATTTCAACCGTAAGTGCTGGTGTTTACGGCGAGTTAGGAAGATTCCCGCTATATATAACAAGATACGTAAGAATTGTAAAATATTGGTGTAAATTGCAACAGTCAGATAATATTATTTTACAAAAGACATATGAACAGGGTTTGATAGATTGTATTAAAGGACGTAAAAATTGGGTTTCAAACGTTAAAAAATTACTAAGTGATTATGGATTTGCAGATGTTTTCCTCAATCCTAGATCGGTTGATTTAAAAACATTTCCTAATATTTTAAGACACAAATCGTTGATTGTTATAAACAAGATTGGAACGCATCAGTAAATAATTGTGCAGTGCTTGAAAATTATAAACATATTAAGCAAGAGCTAAGGTATGAAACTTATTTGGATATTTTACCTTTTAATCTAAGAAGTTATTATACAAAACTTCGTTTATCAGCACACTCACTTAGGATACAGACCGGTCGTTATTCAAGAAATAGAATACCTAGAAATGAAAGATATTGTTTGCAATGCAATTTGTTAGACTTAGAAGATGAATTTCACTTTTTATTTAAATGCCCATGTTATGAAGATATAAGGAAGAAATACATTAAAAGATACTTTTTTCAAAGGCCGAGTATGTTTAAAATGATGCAGCTGCTAACAAATAAAAATTATACTGTAATAACAAATCTAGCAAAATATATTAAAGCCGCTACATACGTACGACTTTCACTATTAAGTAACTGATATTCACGTACATTGTTCATCCTTTGTATACTGTTTCACAATGTTCATCCTCTCTATACTGTTTAGTCTTAATTGATATCAAATTATATGAATACTCGTACAAGCAAATGTTCTTCAGATTTTGAACACAATAAAATTTCTTTCACCTGTTTGTTAAAATGGTTTCTCGACCTATGCACATAATTAATTTAAATTATATGATTGCATATATGTGTTTATTGTATGGTGAATTACTTTTGCACAAATCTCAAATACTATTCCTGCTTTGTTTTACTTAGTATGTATTATTGTGCAATCAATATACTTTTCAAGTGTTAACATAACCATGTGACATGATATATTGTATTATATATATATATTTGCAAGACGATGTATTATGTACAAGTCTCAAATAAAATGTCTGTTCTGTTCTGTTCTATAAAATTTTGTCATAAAATATCTAAAATTAAGTATTCTATGATGACTGTTGGTATGTAATAATCTCCCCTAGGTATTGTTTCCTTGAGCTGATTTTAATTATGCTCCCCGAAATTTTTCGGGGGAGCATATAGTCGCCGCCTTGTCCGTCTCATGTCTGTTTTTAAAACAACAAGAGGTATCAACATGAAACTTTGTAGGTAGATAGATCTCATTGAGTAGGTGGGCAGAGCACAAAAACCATAACTCTGCCTTACCTAATTTTTGAATTATCCCCCTTTGTTTTTTTTACACTTTGAACTTTGTCCGGGACATAAATCTAAAACTATAAGAGGTATCAACATGAAACTTTGTAGGTAGATAGATCACATTAAGAAGGTTTGCAGTGCACAAGAACCGTTACTCTATCTTGCCTAATTTTGGAGTTATTGCCCTTTATTCATTTTGACACTTTGAACTTTGTCTGGGACGTTACTCTAAAATTATAAGAGATATTAACATGAAACTTTGTAGATAGATAGGTCTCATTTGGTAGAAGTGCAGTGCTAAAGAATCATAACTCTGTCTTGCCTTATTTTGAAGTTATTGCCCTTTGTTTTTTTTTACTTTTTGACCGGGACATAACTCTAAAACTATTAGCGATATCAACATGAACCTTTGTAGGTAGATAGATATCATTGGATAGAACTGCAATGCTTAAAGAACCTAAACAAAGCCTTGTCTAATTTTGGAGTTATTGCCCTTTTTTCATTTTTACACTTTGTATTTTACCTGGGACATAACTCTTAAACTATAAGAGATATCATCAGGAAACTTCATAGATTGATAGATCTCATTGAATAGAAATGCAGTGCAAAAAAACATAACTCCGCCTTGCCTAATTTTGGAGTTTTTGCCCTTTGCTTATTTTTACTTTTTGACTTTTGTCCAGAACTTAACTCTAAAACTATTAGAGATGTCAACATGAAACTTTGTAGATAGATAGATATCATTGGATAGAACTGCAATGCTTAAAGAACCTTAACAAAGCCTTGTCTAATTTTGGAGTTATTGCCCTTTGTTCATTTTTACACTTTCAATTTTACCTGGGACATAACTCTGAAACTATAAGATATCATCAGGAAACTTCATAGATTGATAGATCTCATTGAATAGAAGTGCAGTGCAAAAAAAACATAACTCCGCCTTGCCTAATTTTGGAGTTTTTGCCCTTTGTTCATTTTTTTTATACTTTCCTGTGTCCAAAACCTTCTCGGGGAGCATCACCCGGTTCAACCGGTTCTTGTTTTAAAAGTAAATATTTTCAGGTTAATTTGTTTTTATCAATACTTTGAATGCTGTATGTTTTGATGTACTTGATAGTCCAAATATTTCACTGCAGGTCAATCCTAGATATGAAAAATGATTAACTCAACTGCATCTGAGCAGTTGGTATTTTCTTTCTCTTGAAAAGCCTAGGTCTACTGCAATTCCCCAAAACCAAACCAGAAAGCTTTGGACTTCAAGTCACATTATTATTGTCCAACGTAGTAGGATGACTTCACAGATTTTACTTGTGTACCAAGTGGTTAAGGTTGTTGACTTCAAACCACTTGCTTCTCACCACTTTACGTTCGAGCCACGCTAGCGGCTTCAGACTCTTTTTGTGAGAAAGCTATCCAGAGAAAGCTTCAGAACATCGGTGGTTCGTCTCAGGCGCCTATTTGTGCCAGAAATAATGTACAGAGGGGCACCTGATGTCTTCCTCCACCAGGAAAGCTGGAAAGTGGCCATATGACATATACTGTGTTGGTGCGATGTTAAACCAAAAATAATAATAAAAAAAGCTCTTCAAAAACAACACTTTGTTTATTATTACAGGGCCTAAAGAATTAAACCTGAAGAAAAAGTGAATATAAAGACTAAATAAATTGGTCTCATTTTATTGCCACCACTTTTTAAAAATAAATTTTAACTATGCATCTGATAAAATATTACAGCCCAAAACCTAGGGATGTTGAAGCAGACGCTCATATAGAAGGTAACCTTGCAGCAGAAGTCAGCATGGTTGCCTTGGATACATTAGAACTTATTATACAGGTTGGTTGGTTTTTGTAATAATTTATCAGTTAACCAAATAGTGGAAGGTTGTGAGGAACATGGTTTTTCTTACCTGATTGATGCTGAACCTGCTGAAATTATGTAATGGATTTACCCAACTTGGAATCTGGAATAATCAGTTTGAAGTTGAAGCAGCATGCTTCCAGAATAATGCTAATTTTCATGAAAATTATCAATGGCACTTAAAATTCATACAAATTACCAAAAAGATGTCAATGTATGCAAAACTGGCGCGCCTATAGTATAACGCTACCATTAAGCACGTCTTTACACTATATTTGTTTATCACACACCCGTGCCGATTTTGCGACTCCGTAAATATGGTATTGCACGGCCGTGCATATATTTTGACGTGACGTCATTAGCGTTATACAAACATAGTGCAAAGAAGCGCTAAATGTAAGCGTTGTACTATAGGCGCTTCAATGAAAAACGACTCTTTTTTCACTTTCAACGGTCTTTATTCTGGGTATGTGATAAAAAGAATATTAAATTCGTGTAAGTTAAATACTGAATTTATTGCACTCTTTGAATAAAACAATATTATGCTCGCCAGAGGCTTGCATAATCTAATTTTATTAAACTCGTGCAATAAATTCAGTATTTAACTTACACTCCTTCAATATCCTCTATATAACACAAATGACGTCACATCAATATATGCACGACCGTGCAATACCATTTTTATGGAGTCGCAAAAGTGGTAGGGGTATGTGATAAATCTTTAAATTGCAGGTAAACTAACCTTGTCTTTTAACTATTGCCCCACAGATGTGCAGACTTGCCTGGCTCTATACTGATGGAAAAGGTTAACCACTTCATAAAAGTTCAACAGCTTTTTAAGCAGAATATAAAATGCAATAGTGATTTCTATAACTATTCCAGATTGCCCAAGCTTCAGAGATGATGCAACCATTATTGAGCAGTGCATTGAGGGTACTTCTACATGGTCTTGGACTTAACCAGAGTACATTTGTTCTACAACACATGTTTAGTTCACAAAGGTCACTTGTTACAAAGGTAAATAGCAGTCAATTATGGTACTATTTTCGGCTGATGAAGTTATTTCTGACTTGTTTATTAAATAAGGGTGTTATGTGAGTTCTTCATGAATATAAGTATATCCAATTCTATGAATTACTAAGCAGTATATGGTTTATATGGCTAATAAGTGCTTATTTTAATTGAAAAATTAATGGTCTGCCTTTTAAGAAGTGGGTCACATGATCTTGTTAATATATGAGTGCAAATATCATTAAGCATAAACAAGTAAGATTGATTATAGCAGAATAATAATGATAATGCCACAAAGTTTGTGAGAGAATTACATTTTTGTTTAACATTTTCTGAGGAAATTCAAAAGAAAGTAGGTACAAAATTATTATTATTAAATGCGTCACATATTGAGAATACAAATTATTGATGTAATTATGTTAGCAAGAAATTTACAGTTTTCTATAAATTTGATGACAAATTTATCTATACAAGAGATTTGTTCACTTTATACATTTTTTTAAATTTTACCCTTTTAAATACAAGGAAGTTTTTTTTTTTTGCTTCAGACTGATGTTTTTCACTTTAAAGTTAAATGATTTTATTTTGTTTTTGAGATGTATTTACAGGAGTTTAGATTCTTTAATTTTATATATCTTCTAAATCTATAATACTATATATAGAATCGAAACTGATAGATCTAATAATACCTCTTGTTGTTGGTATTGACATGTTGTTCCTTCTCTTGTTTATTTATTTCTTTTTTAGTTACTTAACATACTTGATATTAGTTTTGATGAGTAAAAATTATTTCGCTCTAATGATATTATTATTTCTTTTGCAGTTTTTGGACCTCCTGTTTGAAGAGGAAACAGAACAGTGTGCAGATCTCTGCCTGCGTCTGCTGCGACATTGTAGCTCATGTATCGGTAATACACGTGCCCAGGCCAGTGCTTCTCTATATATGCTGATGAGACAAAACTTTGAACTTGGAAATGTAAGATATTACATCATGTTGGTTTCAAACGGTTAAGTTTTTTTCTTAAGACACACAGTCATTTTTAAAAAAAAATAAAATTTAAAAGCTTTTTTGGAGGAGTTCAATAAAGTTAATTTCAACAGATGCAGTATTTTTTTTATGCCCCGCCATTACTGCCATATAATGGCTGGGGCATATTGTGTTACGCTGTTCCATCATTCTGTTATTCCGTCATCATCAGTTTCGTTCATTATCATAGTAACCGTTGCACACATTCAACTCAAATTTTACATAAGGATATGTCGTGAGAAAATACAGGTCAAGTTTGAATTTGATCGTGGTTCAATGATTTTTGGCAGAGTTATACTCCTTTTACTTTGAAAATAATATGAAATTTTCAGTTTCCGTTGATTATCTCCCCAACAGTATTACACATTCAACTCAAACTTGACTTATGGATATGTCTTGAGAAAATATAGGTCAAGTTCCAATTTGGTCATGGTTCAATGATTTTTGGCAGTTATGTCCCTTTCACTTTGAAAATGATATGAAATTTTCAGTTTCCGTTCATTATCTCATCTACAGTTTTACACATTCAACTCAAACTTGACATATGGATATGTCAAAGAAATGGGCAGGTCCAGTTTGAATTTGGTCATGGTTCGATGATTTTTGGCAGAGTTATGCCACTTTAAATTTGAAAATAAAGGAAATTTTCAGTTCCCATTCATTATCTCCCCAACAGTTGTACATATTCAACTTAAATTAAAGATATGGATATGTCATAAGAATGCATTGGACAATTTCCAATTTGGTCATGGTTTGATGATAGCTGACAGAGTTATCCCTCTTGAACTTTGAAAAAAAAAAACAGAAATATTAAGTTTCCATTCATTATTTCCCCAATGGTTGTACACATTCAACTCAAATTTGACATATAGATACCTCTTAGGAATTAGCAGTTCAAGTTTGAATTTTGTATCAGTTCAATGATTTTGGACAAAGTTATTGGAAAAATTTTGAATTTTCATTTTCAGCACTCATACTTTAGTGGAAATGTATGTAATCATTATTTTTGCTAGAAATATGCAATATGCAGTTTACAAAAGGTTAAGACTGAATAGTTTCAGTGCCTTTAACTTTGTATAAAAATGGTTTGTGTTAACATTGAATAGTTTTAAGGGCTTTGAACTTTGAATTGAAAAAAATGATTTGTGCAAACAAATTTGGAACTAAATATGATAACATATGAAATTTTGGCTGCATGCGGGGGCATCCGTGGCGTGACGACACATTTCTAGTTGTCATAATTTTGAAAATAAACAAAACATTTATTTATATAATCATGTTTGATGTTACATGTATCATAAGCTTATCTATTAAAAAATAGGGACAGCTATTGTACTCACTCTGGTGTCGATGTCACACTGCTTTAGTTTTTGTGTGCAAGTTGTTATCTTCAAAACTCTTATTTCAAATCATTTGAATTTATTGTTATAAAAGAAGTTTTATTCTTTGCAGAACTTCTCTCGAGTAAAGATGCAAGTTACCATGTCATTGAGTTCACTGGTTGGTCAGAATCAGGATTTTAATGAAGAATACCTACGTAAGTCGTTGAAAACTATACTGACATATGCTGAAGCTGACACAGAACTGCAGGAGACTACGTTTCCTGATCAGGTAATTCTATTTTTAGCTTTCGCTCTTTGAAAAATTATAAAGAGCAGTACTACCTACTTAAGACTTAGTCAGAGTGTTTTGTCTCTCTATGTTTGAAGGTGACCACTTTAAAACTTCACCCATATCTTCACTGTAACAATTAAACACCTCTGGTCAAGTATTATAAATAAAGATGACGTCTGTGGCCTAGTGGTTAAGGTTGCTGACTTCAAACCACTTGCCTTCACCACTATATGGGTTCGAATCCTGACAGGGACTTTTGAATTATTCTTGTGAGGAAGCTATCCTGCTAGCTTACAGAATGTTCTACTCAGGTGCCCATTCGTGCTTGAAACAGTGCTAGGAAGGGCACTTGAGGTCTTCCACCACCACTAAACCTGGAAAGTCGCCATATGACCTATTTTGTTGGAGCAATGTAAAAAATATTAATAAAGCATCTAATTTTACAGTAAAATGAAGCTTTTTTTATAAAGGGAGGTAACTTTATCATTGAATGTTGTATATTTGTTGACATTACTCTTGTATTTCTAGGTGAAAGATTTAGAATTCAACCTGCACATGATTCTGTCAGACACTGTCAAAATGAAAGAATTCCAGGAAGATCCAGAAATGTTGCTAGATTTAATGTACAGAATCGCCAAGGGTTACCAGACGTCACCAGATCTCCGCCTGACATGGCTACAAAATATGGCTACCAAACATAGTGAGGTATGGAGTAAAAAAATTATACCATATCTTCTTTACTGTTTGATTTTTGTAAATTAAATATTTATATATATAAAAAACAAAAAACAGGTACCTAATGGTCAGGAATACGTGCGTTTTGGACTATTGTTGATGGAGTCATTTATTGAATGTCTGTCTTTTCAGTTTGAAGTATTTTACTTGTATTACATGTAAGGAAGCTTACAAAACATCTGTGCTTCTACTCAGGTGCCTGTTCATGCCTGAAATAATGCATGGAAGGGCACCTGAAGTCAACTTCAACCAGTAAAGCTATATAGTCGCCAAATGATCTATACTGTGTTGGTTCGACTTAAAACTCAACAACAAGACTTAACTTGTGTTGAAAAAGGAGGTTAAATTTTTATGTTTTTCCTTTGTAGAGAGGTAACCACGCTGAAGCAGCCCATTGTTTGGTCCATGCAGCTGGACTGATATCTGAGTATCTGAACATGCTTGAAGACAAGACGTACCTGCCTGTAGGCTGTGTGGAGTTTCAGCGGATTACACCTAACGTGTTGGAGGAGAGTGCCGTATCAGATGATATAGTGTCACCAGATGAGGAGGGTATTTGTACCGGCATGTATTTCACAGAGAATGGTCTGGTCGGTCTGCTAGAACAAGCTGCAAGCTGTTTTACTATGGTAAGTACTATTTTCTTCAGATGTATAGAAAAGTTTTTTTTTATCTCCAGTTTGATGGTGAGAGTATTGGTTTACTTGATTGTTAACGCTCACTGCTTAAAAAAAAAAACTTTCAAAAGATATTCACTTCAAACTTGAATTTGTTGTACACAATTGTGAAGATGACATTTTTTTCTGACAAATTTACCAACAAACTTTAATAACCAGTAAAGCCATTTTGTCCTTATGTCATTCTGTATACTTGCTTACTATTTTAAAGGGGTTTCTGTGGCTGAGTGATTGAGGTCTTTGGCATCAAATTACTTGCCCAGCACCACTTTCAGTTAGAATTTCCCAAGGGACATTGGATTGTTTCATGTGAGGAAGCTATCAAGCTAGTTAACGGAATGTCAGTGGTTCTACTCAGGTGCTTGTTTGTGCCTAAAATGATTCATGGAGTGGCATCTGAGGGCTTCCTGAATAAGTACAGCTGCACAGTTGCAATATGACTGTTATAGTCATTTAATGTCAGTGTGTAATCTAACAAAACAAATCATAGCACCATAATTGATAATTATTGGCCAGCACCGGAGAAAGTTGTGTTGGAAAGCATTTATCAGTGTCATCAGTATTTTTTCTTGATTGTAATGTAAATCATGTTGTATGTTTCAGGCTGGAATGTACGAGGCATTAAGCAAGGTGTACAGAGTTCTGATACCTATACATGAACATAACAGAGATTTTAAGAAGTTGGCACATCTACATGGTAAACTACAAGAGTCTTTCAACCAAGTCATTAAACAGGTTTGTTTATTTCATGTAATTTTCAAATACAGTCGAAACTGTACTAACGGTCACCTCTTTTCGGCGGTCACCTGACCATAACGGCCATTTTGTGACGCTCCCGACGAAAACCACTGTATTTTATACATCTGTTCAACGGTCACCTGCTGTCCGCGGTCAACGGTCACCTAAAATGCTTCCCAAATCTTAAACTCGATCATCTTAACAGCGGTCAGCGAGTCGAAACGGCCAGACAATCTTCTGTTATTTATTTTTAAAGATGACACGTGTCACGGATTAACAAAAGCTACTTGTCAGGTGCTAGATATTAACACAAACCACAACATTTCAAGAATTTGTATAATTGCTCATCCGTGTCGTAATTACAAACGTTTGGAACGTCTCCACGCACTTGTAATTTGTTCTTTTGAGTAACTGTACGCTAGTTTTTTTTTATTTTTCAATTTATCGATTTTAAGAAAATAAAAAAAGAAGAAAAACATGCATTGTTGATGACGGAAAGAAATATTTTGATTTGTTTTCCTGTTTATCAGTTTATCCAGATTCAGATAAATTTGGTGTGTACATGGTACTTACCAAAGAAATGAATTCCTTAGTAATAAATTCATAAAAACACTCGCTCCATGTGTGAAAATAAAATTGCATAAATATAACGAGGTCATTGTTCACACTCATTAAGTTTACACACTAGATGACCTCTAAGAGGTAACTAGCGGGCTCTTCAAAAGAATCTTTGATGTTTACAAACCTGTAGCCCTGCTGGTTCAATCTAGAACATCAAAGGAAGTGCTGACACTTAGATGACATGAACACAATATTCTATTGAAAAGAAACTGTCGTTGTTTTGTGAAGAAAATATTAGTAATTACTCATTTTAAAATATTGTGCAAGAAGATATTTTTATGGGATAATTAGTTTCAATTGTTTACATAATAAATCGTGAGTGCATTTGTTTATCTGTGTTACATTCATGTAAAGCCTTATGTTGGAAGGAGTGTGTACATGTTAAACCATTAATGACATACGTTTGTAAATTGTTAAAAATTGATGATGATGATTAATCAGACGGGTTTATTTATACCTAAATTAGATTTATTTTACAAAGAAATTTAAATGAATAATTTATTTGGATAAAAACTGGATCTTCCATTCAGCAGCCACCTGTCTTAAGCAGCCAAAACGACTGCATCTTTTGGCTGGCTGCTTAAGACAGTTTCGACTGTATCTTATTTAAAATATTACAGAAATAGATAAATCATGATATCACAAGGATGGGGGTGGTTGGGTAGGGGTGGGGGGGGTACAGTATTTATGATTTTAAAAATCTCATTTGTCTAATTGTACAGATGTTTGGATAGAATTGGATATAACAAGAGCCATATCTAAAACAGAATGTTCATGAAAAGATATAAATCAGTTTATTCTAGAAACATAATTATACATTTATATTTATTAAAAGTTTTGTGTAATGAATTTTACAGGAGGGTAAGCGTATGTTTGGCACTTATTTTCGTGTTGGTTTCTATGGGCACAAGTTTGGTGACCTGGATGGAGAAGAGTTTGTGTACAAGGAACCAGCCATTACTAAACTACCAGAAATATCTCACTGACTTGAGGTTAGTTACTGCTTATATGATATCCTTTATATTAGTTTTATTGTTCTTATTTGCTGTTATTTTACCTATGCATGATTTGAAAAAAATGTTATCGGTCAACTCTTAAAGTTTTCTAATTGCAGAAAAGATTTTTCTATGCCACTAGTATAGAATAAGGCCAGTGTACACAACCTTGAAGTCTAATCAGGCTGGATAATAAAATTCCACGATATTACATTGGAAAGGTCCGAATTCAAAGCATCCAGAATAGAATTGAAAGGCTTGGTAATTATTATGATTGTTTTAATTTTATTTTGCAGAGTTTCTATGGAGATAGGTTTGGACATGATGTAATATCTATGATTAAGGATTCTAATACAGTAGAGAGGGAAAAACTTGACCAAAACAAAGTAGGTTTCTTTCATTTAGCAGTTATTTTATTTAATCTACTTAGTTAAAAAATTGTTTGTTTTAATGTGTTTTTTTTATCAAAGCTGGCAGCATATTTTAGCCAGTTATGTGTCTACTTCCATGGGACTAACCAGTATTAGTGTCAAAAGAGGTGTGACATGGTTGTGACCTGAGTAGGGCTCGAACCCATGATCCCTGTGTTGTGAGGCAGACCCATTAACCATTAGGTCATGGCTCATCTGTTTCGATTTAATTCCACAAAAAAGTTTCAAAATCTGAATTCAAAATTGCATGTTATTTTAAATAATGATGAACAAGGATTCCTTTGTTTAATCATTGATAGTAATTCAGCATTTTGTGATTATGCCTTTGTTGAATTTTTTTTTGGAAATTCAGAATTGAGATAATTTTGTTATTGTAGGCATTTATACAGATCACCTATGTGGAGCCATATTTTGATTCTTATGAGTTGAGAGATCGGGTGACTTACTATGAGAAAAACATTAACATAAGTAAGTGGTTTGATTTATTTGACTCCAGTGATATTTATAGTTTCAAGTTATCCAAGTTGCTTCCATAGCAATAGAAACATTTTTTAATTTTTAGCTCGACTTTTCTATGAAAAGGGGAGCTATCCTACTCGCCCCGGCGTCGGCGTCGGCGTTAGCGTCGGCGTTGGCGTCACACCTTGGTTAAGTTTTTCGTACCACCCCACTTTATTTCAGAAGTATTACAAGTATGGCTTTGAAACTTACCATACTTGTTCACCATCATAACCTCCATCTACAGACAAGAGTACATAACTCTGTCAAGGTTTTTGACAGAATTATGGCCCTTTTTTGACTTAGAAAGTGTATTGAGCTTGGTTAAGTTTTTTGTACCACCTCACTTTATTTCAAAACCATTGGAGGTATTGCTTTGAAACTGACCATACTTGTTTACCATCACGACCTTCATCAACAGACAAGAGGACATAACTCTGTCAAGGTTTTTGACAGAATTATGCCCCTTTTTGACTTAGAAAATACATTGAATATGGGTAAAATCCACTTATTGCCTTAACCCTTTGAGATATTGCTTTGAAACTTTTATTTCTATTTCACATCATTACCCCCATCTGTACGCAAGAGAAGGTAACTCTGTCAAGGATTTGTTTTAAAAATTAAGGCCTTTTATCGACTTAGAATCTTGGTTAAGTTTTTAGTACCAGTCCACTTTTTGACTGAACTGTTTGAGATATTAATTTGAAAGTTGGAATACTTGTTTACAATCATGATTCCCAAACATGTCCAGGAGAAGGTAATTCTGTCAAAGATTTTATTTGAATTATGGCCCTTAACTGTCAATGTTTTGTATTATAGGCAAGCACTAAAAAACTTAAAAAATCTAAAAAAAATTCATTCCTATCCACTTGTTCACTTTACCATAAATTATGTCATATAAACATTGCTGTAATATTCAAGGGTATCAAACAACTAGTTATTTTTCTCTTTTTGTACTTGAAATTAAAATCAGTAGTATATGCATATTTCACATTTTATCTCGCCTATTTGATTGGTGGACAAGTTACACAATTCAGTAAAATAATTCTTCACTAAATATCTTAATGCTCATGGCCATTGTTCACTTTAAAAATACAGAGATTCTTGTATTGCCTTTTACTGCAAAAACTTTTTTTATTGGCAAGCAATAAAAAAGTCGAGCGCGCTGTCTTACGGACAGCTCTTGTTAAGTATATATTGTTGATGATATAGGGAAAAACAGACTTGTACATCTAAAGTGTTTTCTGAAATATTTATCATCTTAATAATATCTCCTAAAATTTTTGGGAGACATTGTTTTTGCCTTTGCTGTCTGCCCGGTTGTCCAGACATCTGCATTAAGCATGTCTGGCCTTCATAGGTCAAACTACTGGTGGTATTTTAACCAAACTTTACAGGAGTGATCAGTACCATCCCTAGTTGAGCGCATCACCGGTACGTTTTGCTTCGCTGCACAAAATGGCCACCAAAGCTAAAAATAGAAAAATCCTGTCCGGCCTTCTCAGGTCAAACTGCAGGTGGGATTTCAACCAAACTTTACAAGAGTGATCAGTACCATCCTTAGTTGTATTTTCAGCATTTTGAGTCTAAACTTTTAAAAATTATCTTTTTATGTGAAAATGAATTAAAATAAATAGGAAGGAAAATGACAGTGTGTAATTTTTGTTAAGAAATATTTGACATTCATGTATTCATATTTAATTCCAGAGAGGTTTATGTATGCGACACCATTTACTCTTGATGGAAGAGCTCATGGCGAGCTACAAGAACAGTACAAGAGGAAAACAATTCTAACAACCAATCATTTCTTCCCATATGTCAAGACACGCCTCTCTGTTATAAACAGGGAGCAGGTGAGATAGTTCTTTATTTTGCTTTAATTTGTGTTATCTGGCCCTTGTATCCCATTTATAAGATCTCAGTGAACTGTTATAAGATTCTTTCCCTGGTTGGTTTGAATCCTGGCACAAAATAATTATTTTTTCAACTGTTATATAATTGAAAATGTGCCATTAGTCATTCATAAAAATATGTTTGTGTGACAGGTAGGGGAGCCCATGGCTGAGTAGTTAATATTGTTGACGTCAAACTACTTGCCCCTAACCCCTTTAGGGAATAAATCCTTCAAGAGGCTTTGGATTCCTTCATGTGGGTAAGCTATCCAGCTAGCTTACGGAACGTCTGTGGTTCTACTCAGGTGCCCGTTTGTGCCTGAAATAATGCATGGAAGGGTACCCGAGGTCTTCTTCCACCAGTAAAGCTGGAAGTCTCCATATAACCTATACTGTGTTGGTGTGATGTAAAATCCAATCAAACAAACAAACATGCTATGTTAAACCAAACAACAACAAATGAATATATATGATATTAATTGTAGGTAATTCTATCACCGATTGAAGTAGCTATTGAGGATATTATGAAGAAGACGAAGGAGTTGGCTATTGCACTGAGACAGGATCCACCTGATACGAAGATGTTACAGATGGTAATGCAGGGGTGTCTTGGTACCACAGTTAACCAGGTATGGTCTATATCTCTTTAATGCTGGTTTAAATTAATGGTTAAGAGTTCTTCAACATTTGATTAATTATATGTAGGTATTTTCTTGAACAAATTATCCTGAATTCATCTGATAACCTCATGTCATATTTTTGCATTATGAAAACGAACTTATTCATCATTTAACTCTCACCACCCTGACTTAATGTAATGGACCTTTCCGCTTTGAAAAGACCCCCCCCCCCCCATAAAAACCCAATTGAGGGAAATTAACCATTACTTTCTCATCTTTCGAAAATATTTGGCACAAATGTTAATGTCATGATAAACATCCAAACCCCTACCTTCAAGGTCAAGGTCACACTTTGAGGTTAAAGCTTAAAGAACCTCCACTGAGGTCCCAAAAGCCTAATAACATAAAAGTTGAATTTCTTATGTAGATCAACTGGGGCACTTTAAACAGAAAGATATGCAAAAGATGATTAAGAAATATACTTCGAAATAAATTAAAAATCATATTTTTTGTGCTTTTCTTTATCCAATTTAAGTGAATAAAAGGTTACAACAATTTTCAATTTTGGGTAATTTTTCACAATTAAACAATTATTCTGGAAATTCAGAGTGAGGGGAATATATAAATTATTGTCATATTAAATGTCATTTGTGAATTGCCCACATACTTTGATCGATGCAAAAAGTTACTGACTGTACACAAAATATAACCTGTAACTGACCATATTCTGTATGGATTATGTATTTGTCACATTTTGTGGCTTTGAAATAGTGATAACAACTATACAAATATGTTTCTGTTGACACATACACAGGAGTTATATCATTAAATTTCTTAAATGAATTTATTGTAACTTGCATGTGTAGATCTAGCATTAATAAAAAAATTTGCAGTGAAAGTCCATATCCATACCAATAGCACACTTTTGTGCTTCATGTAAAACTTTCCTAAGGCAGGGAATGTTGGTAACTCAAATTCAAAATCTTGTTACAGGGACCAGTGGAGGTAGCAAATGTATTTCTGAAGGAAGTTGCTGAAGGGAAACAGGTTGGAATGAAACATCATAACAAGTTGAGACTTTGCTTCAAAGATTTCCTGAAAAAGTAAGTGTTATAAAGTTGTAGGATCTTTATTATTAAGTTTCTAAATTATTATTGTGACATCAGGTTGATTTATATACCGAAAGTTGTGCATGAATTTGTGATTAAAGACATTTTAATCACTTAATTATTTAAGATAACTTTATTTGGTATTTTTCATTGCTACTTCCCTATTTATAGTTAGATGCAGAATATATTAAGGTATTTTACTATTAGACAACTATTTACTTGTTTTTTTTTGAAATTAAGTTAATTAAGTGAAACAGCATCCTTCCAATAACCTTTAGCCTGCTTTCAGCTACTAATATGGCCATTATACACAGCAGTCTGCACCTCCATGCTGTCTGATTATGTTCTGGACTGTTTGCTGTTCAGGCACTGCATATTTTGAAATTTTCCCTAAAAATTTTGAATGGATATGTCATAATTGAGAAATATGTCTAAATTGAGAGATGGACAAGATTTTTAGCAAGATAAGGATAAAACAGGTAAACATGAAACATTATTTGTGTTTTCATGACTTGAATGGAAGAAAAACAAATGTTTATCACATACCCGTGCTGCTTGACGTCATTTGCGTTATATAAACATAGTGTAAAGACGCGCTAAATGTTAGCGTTATATTATAGGCGCTTCAATGAAAAATGGTTCTTTTTCACTTCAAACGGTACTTTTTTTTGTATGTTATAAATAGAATATTGAATTCTTGTAAGTTCATTACTGAATTTATTGAACTTGTTGAATTAAGTAATATAATATAATTTTATTCAACTCGTTCAGTAAATTTCTATAATTTTATTCAACTCATTCAGTAAATCTGTTTTTAACTTACACTCATTCAATATCCTCTATTTAATTTCCAGGTGTTGTGATGCCCTACACAGAAATAAATCACTAATTACACACGAGCAGAAGGAATATCAGAGAGAACTGGAGAGAAATTATCATGTAATAAAAGGCAAACTTCTTCCCTGGATATCCAATGCAGCCACACTTAAACGTACAAAGCATCATAGAAGGTATGGGAAATATTATTTATTATGTTCATCACCTCTAGTGATGGAAATCGGATGAAATTTGTCCCAATCGATCATCGGTTCAATCGGATAGAACATAATCGATAACTTTTCGAATAAAGTCGCATTTAAAAGAAAAAGGGAGGTAACATTTCTTTCCAAGGCACTTCAGTACATTCAGTAACATGAACTTCTTTTAGCATTTTTCAACACAGTTTGAACCATATATAGTCATTATTTTTTGAAGTAGATTTTATTTTTCAATGGATGTCAAATAATAACATTCACATCACATTATATTACTATTGTTTACACCACGTATTGGTCCTGTTCAACTCCACATTGTCTCTGAGATGACTTTTTTGCGATCGGAGAGGTGTTCCTAAAAGAAAATTAACGTCAGAATTAATTCCCTTTGATACTTTATACATTTTCGACAATCGCGGAACAAATTTTTGTGAATCGATTATTGCCGATTTACATAACAGTAACTGATTATCGGCAACTTGCGACAATCTGAACATTACTAATCACCTCAAATTAATTGTAGAGGAGTGTGTCATAACCTGTTTGTTCTTCCATCCCTTCCTTTGTACTCACGTTTATTTTAATGGCCAAATGTGTTAGATATTTTTGTAATGAATGGTTGCAATTTGCACACCTAGTAGAGCTGGATACCACCAGGACAAATATACTGTGGTATACCACGTTATGGCCCATACCGCAATATTTACCTCGGTATCCCATACTACAGATGTTCTTTTTGTACATGTTTGTGCTACATTAGTAAATGCCATAAAAATTACAACAAATATGCATCACTAACTTCTTTTTATTCAAAAAGAAAAACAAAAGTTCAAAAAGGAAGAGAGCAGCCTAAGAATATGCAGCCAGTTAAAATTACACCAATATATAAGCTGGCTACTATTGTTTTAAGTTATTATTTTGGCTTTTGTTGTAAGGGTTACCTTTATTACTCTAAAGACTCTATTGTTCAGTCATATTCAAATGCTTTTGTCTGTTCCAGGGAAGGTAAAGAGTCCAGAAAGCATCACCAAGTAGCAAGCACAACCCAAAGTTCTTCACAAGTGTAGCTTGAGCAGCAAAATAAATTTTCAATTAACAATTTGCTGTCTTTTATTTAAGAAAATGAACATTTAAAATGGAACCTTATTCTTAATGTTAGAAGTCACATCATCAAGATGTACCATTATGTTATCATACATAATTGCCAAACATACTTAATGGGATCAAGGAAGATCTGAAGTTAATATTTTAGCAATGGGATATTGTATATGTGTTACTAAAAATATTTTATTGTATTATGAAGCAAGTATTTGACTTTATTTTGCTTGCACATTTAGGCATATAATTATGATTATTATGCATATAAAGTCATTTAGGCATATAATTATGATTATTTATGCATAAATGGTCAATTAGGCATATAATCATGATTATTAATGCATGTATGGTCATTTAGGCATATAATTATGATTATTTATGTATATATGGTCATTTAGGCATATAATTATGATTATTTGAGCATGTATGGTCATTTTGGCATATAATTATTATCTACACATGCATTATGATTTAGGCATGTATGACCTGGTTTAGCCTATATACTACTATTGTTATTTCAGCTAGTAACTAAAAATTTTGGTTTGGTCATATATACCTCATTTTCTTTTCTTTTTTTTCGATAATCAATGAGGTTATATCTAACCAAACTTTTCGACTACTGTGACACATTGTGTTAAATTTTTATGTGTCATCTTATGTCAGCTATAATACAGTACCAAAATGACACGTTAGACATTGAAAATCATTTGTACGGTAAATAAATATGATTATACATGTATGTATGTGATATGATTTGTACAATCATTGGGCATTTAACATTTACCCTGCTTTGTTTGTGTAACTTATTTTTGTTAGTGTTAGCGATTTTAAGTTTGGAATACCACCATTTGTATAAAGTATAGGGTTTAGTTAAAGTTGCACTGATATATAGTCTGCCATGTTTTTTATACTGGTGGTATCATTTTATCACTGAAATGTTTAATACATGTATTTGTTGATATATATTTAAGTTGCCATATGATATTGTTGTTGAAATATTTGTAAAAAATAAATGAGCTTGCCTTATTAGAACTGTTCAGAAATGAGACATTTTGCCTTGCTTATAAAACTGTGATGTTTGCTTAAGTAGTTTAACTACTTCTAGAAGTATTGCTTTTTGCACTTTTGTTAATTTTGATTTTAATAATTGGATTTAAAGGTTTTGATTTGAATGTGTTACTAAAATATTGTCAGTGTTGTAGTTTGGATATGGGGGTTCATTGTTAAACAGGTTCATATGTTACACCTGTATATGACATAATGTCCCGGGCATCCGAGATTGCACCAGATACAGGGTGTCCCGAAAACAAATTTGTCCCGAAAATAAATTAGGAAAAAACATAATTTAGTATTTAATCATAATCTTGTATTCAGATATTTATAGATAAGTTATACTAATTACAGTGTATTATACAGAGTGTTCTTAATTATTGAATGCAATTCCTGTTTACTGTATACAAGGATATTTCTGCATGTCAAAAAGTTAGCAAATTTAAAATTCCAGACATTTCGTGTGAGGAAATATCAGGGAATCATGCAAGTGTAGAATTTAATAATAGATTGGTTGATATTTGTTACGCTAGAGGAAAGTTTAGTAATTTTCGTCAATATGCGAAATTTGCCAATTATTTTTGTGTTGCTAACTTAACCACTTATATAGTATAACGTTGTTAATGTAACATTGTAAAAATTATGAAAGCTTACTGGCGTTATTTAAATTTGAGCCGCGTCAGGACAAAACCAACATAGTGCATTTGTGACCAGCATGGATCCAGACCAGCATGTGCATCCACGCAGTCTGATCAGGATCCATGCTGTTCGCTATCAGTTTCTCTACTTGTAATAGGATTGGTAAGCGAACAGCATGGATCCTGATCAGACTGCGCGGATGCGCAGGCTGGTCTGGATCCATGCTGGTCGCAAACCCATTATGTTGGTTTTGTCCTGACGTGGCTCATTTAAGTTTTATTCCATCAGTAGTCTAAGGTAATTTTAGGAATTTATTAATAAATTTGCATATACCATGCATTATTTGTTACTCAAACTTCACTGTATAAAAAAATTATCACCAATTACAATACATGTATGTACAAACAATTTATTTTGTTTTATCAGTATTCTTAACTGTAATGGAGGTCAGATCTGAAGTTGTTTTATGTGTTCAATCATTGTTTTTTATTGTCTTTATAATTAGTTTTTCATACATCTTTGTTTGATTTACATGTAGGTTTCAATTTTTTTTTCTTTTCATACTTACATTATTATTATTATTATTATAAGTCACTTTCATGACTACCGCTATACAGTCGAATTTCTGTCTAAAACTGATGACTGCCTGAAATGGGCAGATCTGAATGAAACATATTGGTTTAAAACCTATCACTGTCATTACGTAAATAATATTACAAGAGCCTTCTTTGTTTTGCTTTTGAATCCCCGTTTTTGAATATTATTTGTTATTTTGCATAAAAGATGTTTTGCCACTTTAACCCATTACTTCATGAGCATTTTGTGAAAAATGGCTGTTTTCATTGAGAAGTCTTCCGTTACAAGTTCAAATTGCTATAATACTATAAAAACTGCTTCAACACTAATCAAACTTGGCACAAATGATGACTGGACCATTGCCCTTGCAACAACATGCTCAGACTTAAATTTTCTGTTACCATGGCAACGAGGGGACATCTCAAAATTGCCAAAAATCACTATTTTGCGTTGATTTTTTCCATCAAAATTGATTTCAAAGTGCTGCAACTTCTCAATGGATTGAGATAGAGTCAAATGCTTTTCAGCGTTGGTTACATGTTACCTTATGATCAATCTGGGGTCATTTACAGCCTCTCACAAGTCCAAAATTTTCTTGGCGATGAGGGGGACTCCGCCCCCTTCAAACCCCCCCAAACAGAAGGGGGCACATCCCCCTTCTGGCAACCCCCTGCTGTATCTTTTGGTTGGGGGCCGCGCCGAAAAAGAGGTCACTTTTGTAACAACATTCCTCAAACAAAAACAAGTGTTTGGGGCCTAAATAAGGCATTTTTTCATCATTTGAGACAACAAAAAGGGGGGGGGGGGGGAAAAAGGCGTTAAAAGGCGTGTATATGAAGTAATGGGTTAAAGAAGATTGGATATGTCAGCAAAAGTTATGTTGACAGGTTTTTAGAAAGACTTTGGAAACAGAGAGATGTATTCTTGGATATTTCTTGGTGTTTTTTTGTGTGTGTATTTTAACAGTTGACAATAATGGAATATAATATTGTAGTATAATTACGGAGTTCAATTTTAACAGTATTACTGTCAACAACAGCAACTGATGTTTATAAACCTAGTTATATATATGTCTCATGTCAGTTGTTAAATCTTCAGCTTCCTTTTTGTGTCGACTACAGAGTAGTGTCGACAAATAGGGTTGTCTGTCCGTCCGACAGAAAACTTCTCTGCACTTCTCCTCCGTATCAACTTGTGCAATTTCATCCAAACTTTACAAGAATTATCAGGTCCAATGTGTTTTCTAGATGAATGATTTTTAGTCCTTGAATAGAAACTGTGTTTTGCCCTGTTAATGATTTTTGTGACTCCTGCTACACTGCAGCTGCAACATGCAATCAGCTATCATGAGGCAACACGTGTGATCACTGATCGCTCCTGTTTTAGCGAAAAGCATATTCTTAAAGCAGCACATCTCCAGAATTTTTTATTAATTTTTATGAAATCTTAAAAAAAAGTTTCTTAAGTCAAATGTATAAATAAGAAATTTAGTATAGCTTATGGTACTTGATATCCAATATGTGTTGAAATATTAGCGGCAATTTCTCTGAACCCATTATCAAGTGGGTTTAAATTTTATGAAAAGTGTAAATTCTGTCCTAGTTTGTTTGCATAATATATCTAAAATTGAATATTTATAGTGAATGCCTATCTATTCCTGAAAGATAATTTGAGGATTTATTTTTTCTCACTTCGGAGGTCTGCTGTTTTAAGTATGATTGAATAAATTTCGTGATTTATTTTTGATGGGTCAGTGCAAACATAGACTATATGTGTATATGGAAATAGAAGGCACATAGCTTATTTTTGGACCAAGCCATCATTTTATGTTTTCTATGTAACCTTGAGTGCAATATTCTAGTCCAATTTTAATCTTCTATTTTTATCATGATTTGCAATTTGTCATATATAATGCTTTAGAATAGAGTTTTGAAGCTATAGCTTTTGTTGTATTTTATAAAGGTTTGATTTGTTCGTTGTAACAAGCTTCTGAAATACTCTGAGAGGAGCTTTTTTTCAAAGCGTTTGGTGCAATGTTTGTGTTCATACACTCCCTTATAAACGGAAATAGATCGTTCGTGGAAGGGTATTTAAGATGAATGATAAGATGGACACAGTAGCATTTAATGCTGCCAGGGATTTAAATTAGGATCACATGTTAGGTGTGTGGTTCTACATGAGGGTCTGTTCATGCTTGTGATTGTTTTACAAGTTCATTTGAAAAAATGCCATGATCAAAAGGAAGTAATGTACAAAGGCACTTACAATCCATGCATATTAGCAAAAATGAGTCAAAATAGGCAAAAAATAGCCCTTACTGCTTATTAGGTACTAAAATAACCAACCAGCAAATTTGAAATAAGAAACTAACCGTTTGTTCGAGGAATCAAGAAATGTGATACCGCATATTTTAAGATGCAACCATGGATTTTTCTCCTATTTACTTTCATTAAATAATACATTTTTGGGAATTAAATTACAACACGAGACATAATTGAAAGCATATAAAAAATATTTAATATGTATGCTTATATTCTTTTCTACTTTTCTGCTTTCAATGTTTGAAAATAATTTTATAAAAAAGGACGTCCCTGACAACGAAACAAAAACAGAACAAAAACAACAACAAAAAATCGTCAGATCAAACAACCATCCATCTTCTCAACAATGGGCTGGTTTGAATGCTTTATCTGAAAATACACGAATTGTTGAAATAAATTAAAACTTCTGTTTTATCTTTAATTTTATCTTCACAAAGCAAATTTATAGTCAAACATATATCGACACTTTAATGAATTAAATCATTGAACCCAATTCAAAAGCCTAATATATATAATATATGATAACAGACCTTTACACTAAACCAACTGGTAAACACCCGTTAACTTGCATACAGACTCATCTCATCTGGAATTGACAAATCAGTCAATACAATTTGAACTTGCCCTCCGTGCTAAGCGAATATGTACTAATGAATTGACTTAGAAAAAACATAGGGGGAACATTAAAACTCGGTTACAGAAACTTAAGATCAACATATTGAAACATAATTAAATAAAGTAGATAGTAAGACAAGAGCTCCGCTAGGCGGAGCATTATATGCCGGAAAGTGATTTTTTTTAGTAAAGATGAAGCATTTGTAAGACATGGGAATTAAATAATTTAAAAGTATTACCTCCTTCAAATAACAATCTCCTATGAAGTTTGAATATTGTTGGCCAAATGGAACTTAAGTTATGCTCCGGAAAATGTTTTTAGTTTTAAAGTAAAAGTGACCCTTGTGACCCCAAAATCAATAGGGGTCTTCTACCCAATATGGGCAATCATAATATGAATAATCATCCTATGAAGTTTGAATATGTGGCCCAAATGGAAGTTAAGTTATGCTCCGGAAACCAAATTGCTAACAGACAGACGGACGGACGCCAGTGTGTATAACATTATATGCCCAAAATTATTACGGGCATATAAAAAGGATTGAATGAAGATAAGGAACATAGGGGCCTCCGTGGCCGAGTGGTTAAAGATCACAGGTCCCTCATCGCTGTAGGTTCGATCCCCATGCGGGTCGAAATCTTTCATGTCTTACAAATGCTTCATCTTTATTAAAACAAAAACAAAACTTTCGGGCGTGTGTCTAGAAAAATTCAATACCCCTCCCACTAGAAGACATTTAGGAGACATATCTCTGTTGCTTAGTGTGTTAGTGTTAGATATCAGTGTTAAGATTTGTTTTTATAATTTGTTGAATATTTTCGTGTACCGCTGCCAACTTTTGTAAAACTTGTGCAGACCAGCACCAGCCTGTATAGCCAGTTTTATCAGTGTGCTTTGGTAGGCCTAAGTACCCATATTGAAAAAGCATTGAGAACATACCTTGTTTATTTTCTCTCTAAGGGTTATTTCAGCCAGGAAACGGCAGGAATTTTGTCTCGAACTCTCTGCGGATTTTATCGTGAACAAGCGTTCGCTTCTTTAGTAATACTTGCATAAGCTAAAAAATCACCATAATAGATAATGACTACTGACTACAGTCTGTACAGTTAATTGATATTTCGGAAAATGTATTATTGAATAAGATGAATTCAATTTACTCGGCAAAAATTTACAAAACAAGAAAATGGGTTGTTTAAAAGGAAATTTTATTTCGTCATTATACAACAAATAAAAATGGGCCAAAGACAGAAAAGGCCGGGTTGCATTTGTAGAACAAATATCATGATGCTGAGATACTATGTCGTGGCCACGAGTTACTAAGTCGTGGTAACGAGATAGCTAAGTCGTGGCCAAGAGATACTATGTCGTGGTCACGAGTTACTAAGTCGTGGCCACGAGATACTATGCCTCTCTTCCGATAGCAAGATACCTTTTTTCAAAATTTGTAATTCTTTCTTTTAAAAAGATACAAAGGTCATTCCAGATTGACACAAGGTCCACGAGAGATTACCCCTGATATCAAAAGACTGCAAATGAGAAAAAAACACATTAGTTTCGAACGCACGGTAACAAGTTAAATTTACAAGCTTCTAACGCAACACTAGAACATGTTGTCAATTGGTGTGCGATGACTTGTTTCAATGTATATTGCATTTGATACAGCTTTCTGGAATTTTGTAGATGCTTATGACAGGTGCTAAAATGGGACCGAAAAAAAAAGCTTTTATAAAAAATTTTATTACATATTCCATTTTCTTGGAACCAATGAGTGACCTCTGCTTTTGACTAAAGTTGTAAGTTGGACATTACTACCATACTTAACGCATAATTTAATAGCTGAACCAATATGCAGTATGCAATGAAAATACAACTGCGTCGTATCATATTTTATTTTCAACTGCGTCGTATCATTTCATACAAATCATTATTTTCTTTGAAAATAAGCATCTCTTTTTAATGAAATTTTAGTAAATGATGCAAAATTATATTTTGAATTTTATGGTGAACTCTTAAACGACTATATGATTGATTTGAAGGAAAAAAGATAGATAAAGCAATATGAACTGCGTCGTATCCACACAATTTCATAAAAATTCTGCTCTGCTTCGAGTTGCAAGTTCGCTATAACTTTTGTTTTACAAAATAGTTTTTCAAGCAATATATACCGAACGAACCGGAAAATAGTGGAGCGTGTTAATACATATATCTGGTTTTCAGTCATTTCCAACAAAAAGAGTTATAAACAAAAACATACTTTTTTTGTTCCAAGATGGCGGCGTTTGTTTACATTTTGTAGGATACGACGCAGTTTTGATTCCCAGCCCTGTATTATGTTATCGCTATTAGCGAAGACCCCCTCTTTTAAGGTATCTGTTCACACTTAGTAACAATATGACACTGGTTATATTACCATGTTGAGCATAATTGTTTTATTATACAATAATTGTAATATTTATTTTAATTTTTTTTACATATTTTATGAATATTGTTTTCTTTTTCTTTCTTTTTTTGTGTTTCGTGTGCTATTTTAATACTGAGTTTTTATGTTTACTACTTTTTTTTATTAAAATTGTAAAATAAATTTTAAGAAGTCAATTGTCATATTGACCGACGATTATAAGTCAAAAATTAACTGGAAAAGGCCAGTAAATTATGGTTTATCTTTTAATTATATTGTTTATTCTTAAACCATGTACATACTTGTATTTTTCTTTATCATTTTTTAAATTATTAATCAATTGAATTATTCATAAAATTTAATTTGTAACTTCGAATAATTCCTCAGCATCTTTACTAAACACGAATAACAAATAAAATAAAATGTTTCAGAGTTGATGGTGTCATATTGATATTAATACCATAAAAATGTACATTTTTACTCAATTATTGTACATATTTATTGTTTTTATCTCATATTAATAAAATGAAAAATGCTATATTGTTGTTGGTGGTTTTTTTTCTCGAATTGTTTGTTTATGTATAAATGTGCACGTCGTAAACGTGGATTTTATAATAAGTTTAAATCTATAAATACACATTATCAGGATAGTGAGACACTTTGAAGACATCCTTGTCATTATTGAAATATGTGTTTATTAGTGGAGAAGTTAAGTTTAATTGCAACTTAACCGAGTCTTCTTGGAATAGCCATACCTTATGCTACTGGGAAGCTGATTCTAAAAAGGGGTGGGGAAACTTTTGAGTCGCTGTTTTAGAAAAACCTTTAATTGAAGAAAGAAAAAATATATTTAAGCGTTAAATAATTATAAGTTCAGCAATTTATGCAAATACCGAAATCTTTTTGTATTTGTTGTGTATTTCTTCTTACAAAGTAAGTAAAATATTCATGTATATTCTCATAAGTTCGGCAAGTTTCTAATACGTATTTGTAAAGCGCTGAGCAAGCCTAACAAAATTGTTTAAACAAGTTCTCACAATAAATAAAAATGTCATAGTCTTTCTGCTACATTTGATATTGTAAGCTGATTTCCCGCGCAATTGGATTGTCTCTTTATTGCCCCAGCATTTCTTGTTTAAGTCTATCCCTCTCAGCAGTCAATGCCTGTATTGTGTTTTGTAATTGGCTAATTTCCTCGTCAATATCCGAGGTTCCGTCGGAAGAATCGAAGTATTCGTCGCACACTGAAAAAAAGAAAACAATGTCAAACATCTTACTGTATAGTGAAACACGTTTTATTTGTTGATTTTTTGCTTTAAATTTTACTGTTATCCATTTGCTTTGTTTAACCTCCAAATAAAGACCACTTGTCCATAAAGACTGTTATTTGCATCCCCTTACATGGCCTTTGCTCACAGATTTGACTGTATTCATGTATAGATTAATATTTTCTCATTTTCTCAGAGTTAGAAATTAAAATGTTTAACTATTTCTCTTCTTTCGAAAATACATGTATGAGTTTTCGGTGATATTACCATCTTGGAAAATGGACATGAAGATAAGTCCGTCTTCTCTGGTAGCATTTATGAATGCAATTTTAAAACTGATCATTAACCAACCTTTTTCCTCGTTTTCAAGTGTTGTTAGTAGATAGTTGCAGATTGGGTTGAATTCTGGTTCTTTGCGGTCTTTGGCCTTTATCACCAACGCATATTCACCATCACTTGGGACACTGCAGTCAACCTGGAGCTCGCCTGACTTGATATTTGTCTTAACATAATCTAGAGATAAAAATCAACATCATCATATATTTACCTGTCTTTCAAATGTATGTCATTATTCTAGATTTCTCCCTAATGATGATATCGACATTGGGTCAAGGTCATTTGTTTCTCACAGCTTGTTGATAAGCAATAGGTGCGTAGAAATTGATATTTTCTGGAAAGTTATCTAGGAAAGCCGGTTTGGTTGACCGCCCTGATATGACTGATAAAATGTTACAATCGACGGAAAAACAGTAAAAACCAAACAAACGTAAGAAGCGGTCTGGACTAGTTCTTATAATACAGATTACAAACATAAAAACAATTCTTAAATGTTTAAAATCATTATGAACCTAGCACCGACCTTTAGACCGGTCAATCGGTTTCCCATCTGCACAGATTTCGGCTTGATATTCCTTTCTTTTTACAGCCTCTTTGTCAATACTGAACCTCATTTTAATTGTTGTTTTTCTACCACCTCTTGCTGATTTAGGTTGAATAAAAAGCTTTGGTTCCCTGATTTTTGGCTTTGACAAGCCAGCTTTAGTCGCTACCGGCCCAAAACCCCAACCTATTTGTCCAGCATCGATCGGTAATGTGCGTACATCTGAAATCCTTTCTTTGCAGACAATTTTACTCCTAATAAGAACTTTCTTGCTTTTGCTTTCAATATCCCCACCGCTAATAGAAATTAGATAGTTGGCCTCGACGGGACATCGTACTTCAAACATAAATTGATTCTTTTTACGGGAGGAGAAAACAAGGTTCGCAGAGTCAAAATCAAATGGTGACGCATCTGTTCCAAGTCTTTCGTCTAGACTTAGTGAGAAGTCACACATCATTGACTTTGCTATTTTCCTGTTTGCTTTGAACGATATTTTCGCGAGACCATCTATGGTGTCGACAATACAAGTCTCCTCGCTTGTCATTTTAAGATTGAATTCATGGAACACCGGTGTAAGATATGGTAATTTCATGAATTGACGAGGATTCCTTATTCTTTTGACTGCCGGAAGCATCTGATTCTCGGGATTGTCGGGGTAACAATTGTGTATAAATAATGCAGGGTCGGAAAGGAACCAAAACTCGTTGAAGGTGCTCACATATTGCGTCTGCTGTAAATCTGGGTCATCTGTGACGCTTGAATCATTCTCAGTTAATCCAGACGGTTGTAAGTGGCCCTTAAATGACCGAAGAACATATCTAGGGTGAATGAGCCGCCATTTTCCGTAAAGATTTACTTTATTCCAGAAAGAATACATTTTGTTAGTGTCTATTGTAAGATCCCCCGGCTTGTATTCCCCAGTTTTCGCGACGCCTTTCACGGTCTCACACTGAATGTTTGCCCGTCTATAAAATCGAAAGAAAATTTGTCATAACACATTGTATGAAACTAATCTACCATTGAATGATTTTGGTCTCAATTTGCATCCATGGGTTATCAATATATAAAGCTATAAAAAGCTGTAAGTATAAAAGCAAAATAAATTGTGTCGTCCAGCAACGATAAAATTATGACATATTTTCATTAGAAATGCGATTTGTTTCATAAATTTTTTCTTTTTAACTTTTTTCTCATTTCGCTGCAAAATGTATTCTATATTCGCATTATTATTTTGTGAAATCACATTTATCTGTAAAATTAGATTAAATTTACTATGATACATTACAATGCATATTAATGGCCTTTGTAAGTTAAATAAGTAAGGATTTCTGTCAACATCCATAAAATAAATCTTCTGATTGGTCTAGAATCAAGGAGTTGCCTACTCTTCAGCGCCTTGATTAAGTCACTCTCGGATCAAAGCCATTTTCAGTCAGTAATACCTGAACTGGTTAGTGACTGAAGAGGTTTTTCAAATGAGATTAATAATAAGTTATTTTTGACAAGTTATATATATCATAAGGCCCATTATACTACTCCAAATTTGTAACGTCGCTTTACTGATCGTACGCGCCGCCTGCAGAAATCTAACCTTTTTCTCTAAAAATAGGAAGTTCGCTGCATTATATACTCGTTATGAATATTCCTGACAGGTTATATGACCGTATATAAACGGTTGTTTGCAATATAACCCTTGCCTAGAGACTCGGTTTATATTCCATCAACAGTTTAAATAGGGCCATATAACACGTCAAAAATATTTATGTTTCATAGTTTAAACGGTTGTCAGCTTCAAGAATCTGAGTCATCGTTTATACAAGGTCATAAAACATGCTAAATATTAAGAATTTACAAAATTGCTCGGATTCTGTTTCCATTGTTATAGAAAGTAGATGAAAGCCATGTTTATAAGTGATATGAACATCATGATATAGCCAGATAAAAATCAACGTATCTGCCACATTATAAAAAATTCTAGAAATTCCTCCAAACCTAAGCGGAGGTAAATATCGTTCAACTTTATACTCATCAAATTAAAAGCTCGTACTTACGTGCACAGAGTTGTAAAAGCCTCGGCATATCCTATTTTTCCGTTGTACATTTTAAATGCCAATGTAAGTGGTGAGTCTTTACCGTGCTCTTTCTTCTGATTGGATTGACACTTCAACCAATACAACAATCCTCTGTAAAATCAACAATTTTTATGCTATTCAAAATGACTTTATACTTCCTGACATACATTTTTAACAATTTTTTTGTTTTCAAATGATGTTTTTCCAGGTTCTTTCAACCAAAAAGGGTGAAATGGTAAAACACAGAATACTTAAAAAATGCTAATGCTGGTGGCTGATTTTTTGCCGTGACGTATAGTCGCTCCGCGGGGTGCCAATCAAAACACGAAAATACTACCGAGTAATGACTTAGTTGTACTTTAACTCCGCGGTGGGGGAGGGGAGGCGAAAACAAGAGGATACGACAGTGTTGACCTTGTCGTATTTTCGTCAGTTACCCGAAGTAATAAGAAATAATATCGGTCTTAGCTATTCAACATCGGCGTGGAGTTTTGATGCATAGAAATTTAACGCTAAGGCCGCAATGAGACGGAATGCCGAGCATTCCTGCTAGAATTTAACATATTGAAAGCAAAACCGCTAGCTAAAATAAATTCTATTTTTTTTCAGAAATAACAAGAACATGACTTAAATGGTACATCATGCTCTTATCAAGGCTGATACAACGAGTTAATGTATGATTGAAATATCTTGCTCAGTTACCTTGTCATATAAACATCCCTGTCTATATAATGTTTTACAGGCTCTCCTAAAAAGTTGATCAACTTCTCAAACGTCTCACCATGATCGTCCTTTGCCTGCAGTAATTTTTATAATTACAATATTTACTATTGAGCCTTTTACGTGCTTCGTACCATATTTCTACGACGTGTTCCGACTAATGACGGAATAATTTAACCACAGGCATAGCTTAGTCACGCCCCTAAAACACTACATTTTTACCACTTAACTAAGTTATAGATTTATGCAGCTTTGTATTTGGAAATGCTCATAGAGTATTGTAAGAATTTCATAATCAAAGCATTTTAATCAAGAAGCCTGAACATTATGAAGTCTGGCATGATAGCACGAAAGTAAAATGCTGACTCCGTCGCATGGACAAGTAAGTTTGCTTCCTGCAGCGTTAACAGTATCCTCACCTCAAATCTTTATGATGCGTAGTGTGGTTACACTGAGCACATGTTTGTTTATTCCAGTATTTTCAATAATTTCATTTATTTTGAAACACAATTCGAAACTTAAATCCTAAAACCATATTGAGTATTTATGAAAAACTTCAAAAAGCACGGTTACACGATATTTAAATTTTTGATATACGGTAACTCGAAAATTGTCAGTTTCTTTTTTGAATTCTATTGGTGTGAATAAAAATTAACAGCGGTGTGCATCAACATACCGTTACATACCCAGTATTAAATAATCAATGTCACAAATCAATATTAACATATATCATTTCTTACTTTGATAAATCTCTCATATATATAAAAATTTAGTTTTAAACATTTTATGGATAGAAACCGGAAGTACTACCTCTGACGCGCGCTGATCTATTTTCGTCCAATCCTTCTTTAACATTCCTTTCCCTTAACGCCCTTGAAGTCTGCCTAGAATAATAATGCATAAAGGCTTGTATTTGAAGAAATGTACTCGGGAGTAAATTATACCAGCTAGGTATAAAACATGTATATACGTATAGCTTACTTTAGTTTATATTTTAAAGAAATAATTCGTGTTGTGTAAGAACTGAAAATGATTTTTTTCTTACTCATATCAGAAATAGCAGGCTATTAAAATGGAATTCAATATTTTATTGTTAAATTTTAGCAGACATTTTGTGTTCATTCTACGACTAAACTAACACTTTTGACAACAGTTGTGTGGCTTTTTAACTGAAATATGTAATTATGACTTATAAAACTTTGTAACTAGAATTTTGTTAGTATAAAAGTTGATATGTAAGTAAATATATCATTTTAAACAGCTTCAATTTCATTTTTTTCTTACAATACAGCACTGTTATCATACACAACTTTTTACAATAATGTTGCACCCTAACAAACTTACAGAATAAAATGAATTTGTTCATACCTTATATAAATATTATGAACCTCCACTTTATCGGTATGATAACCGTAAAATATTTAAAATGTACGTTTAGTTTCTCATTTATATGTATATAATTATTTATATTGATTGATTTTCAGTCATACATAAAATATCGATCAAGTCTAACATTTCATATGTACGGTTTGGGAAGTGAAAGATGCGGCTCAATTTGAATAAAACTATCCGCTTGAATCGTTATCATTCATATCATTATATTAAAACATATTTATAAAATGCCATATTTACTGCAGACAGATTTTGTGCGACTTCAAATATTTTGATATTTCAATTAGCATGAGGAAGTGTCAATGTTACCGCATACATTTATATACTGCCATCCTTTTGAGGAGTTTTGTAAGCTACCCATCAATCAATAATCCTAAAATTGGCTCTAGTTACCTCCCCTGACGATGTTGATGAGAAATTGTCCAGTCTTGAGGGTTGGAATGAACCATTATATATAAAGCTTCATTGATTTACCTTAATAGTAGTTTATACGAACCTTAAGAGCTGCATGGAATTCACGGAAGGTTTAATCGACGTCAATTCTGTAAATCAAATGCCACTAAGAACTATAATTCAATATGTTTGTTAAATGTTTGTGAGGCATACAAAGTGCTTCAAAGTGGTTTTCCTTCAGCAAATTGCGCATGTTTTGTCCCTGGCTGTTTTTCCGTTTTTTAATTAAGAGTATTCATGTCCACAATACCTGCTCTCTTTTTTACTTTATGCGATCACGTCCTGCTTCCTTTTGCCTTTATTTTTCACCCGCTTTGAATTCATTACTTTATTAAAGTTATTTGCCTTTGTTTTTTGCACTTTCGGATGTCTGTCCAATGTGAGACTTTCAGGGTTAAGTCAAGCACATTGGATAGTTGGCATCTTGCGTCTTGCTTCACTTAGTATTACCTTTAGGATTACTAGCATGATGTCTTAGGCAAAACAAGTTCTTTCTTTCCTTAGATTTTTTTTCAATACAGTCATTTTGAATATCAATAAAAGTACTTTAGTCATTCTTAAACCTACTTAATAATAAAGAATCACTTCTGTAGCTATTACTTCACTTTATCATTACTTACTAAAGTTTATATTACTCTTAAATTCTAGCAATATAACTATACTCTTTGCATTTAACTCACATAAGTATTACTCTCTTAGCATTACTCTCTTAGCATAACTCACTAAGTATTACTCTCTTAGCATTACTCTCTTAGCATAACTCACTAAGTATTACTCTCTTAGCATTACTCTCTTAGCATAACTCACTAAGTATTACTCTCTTAGCATTACTCTCTTAGCATAACTCACTAAGTATTACTCTCTTAGCATTACTCTCTTAGCATAACTCACTAAGTATTACTCTCTAAGCATTACTCTCTTAGCATAACTCACTAAGTATTACTCTCTTAGCATTACTCTCTTAGCATAACTCACTAAGTATTACTCTCTTAGCATAACTCTCTTAGCATAACTCACTAAGTATTACTCTCTTAGCATTACTCTCTTAGCATAACTCACTAAGTATTACTCTCTTAGCATTACTCTCTTAGCATAACTCACTAAGTATTACTCTCTAAGCATTACTCTCTTAGCATAACTCACTAAGTATTACTCTCTAAGCATTACTCTCTTAGCATTACTCACTAAGTATTACTCTCTTAGCAATACTCTCTTAGCATAACTCACTAAGTATTACTCTCTTAGCATTGCTCACTAAGAGTTACTTACTTTGCTTAACTCACATATCATTTTTCACTTAGTATCAATCTCTAAGCATTACCCAAATAGCATTACCCACTTTGCATAACTAACTTATCATTTTTCACTTTGCATAACTAACTTATCATTTCTCACTTATTATTACTCTCTAAGCATTATACTCACTTTGCATTACTCACTAAGCATTACTCACTTTGCATAACTCACTCAGCATTTCCACTTAATATTACTCTCTTAACATTACACACTTAGCATTACTCATTTAATCACTAATCATTTATCACTTAGAAATACTCTCTACGCATTACTAACTTATCATTTCTCTCTGTATTACTCTCTAAGCATTACTATCTTAGAATAACTCACTTAGCATTTCTTACTAAGTATTATTATCTTAGCATTAATCCCTTAGCATTACTCACTTATCATTACTCACTTAGCATTAATCACTTAGTATTACTCTCTTAGCATTACACTTGTTATCACTTAGTCACTAATCATTTTTCTCTTGGTATTACTTTCTTAGCATTACTCACTTAGCATGAGTCACTTTGCATAAATCACTTTTGATTTCTCTCTAAGTATTTCTATCTTAGTATTTATTATCTAATCAAAACTCATTTAGCATTTTTCATTTAGAATTACTCTCTTAGCATTACTCAGCTTTACTCGCTAAGCATTACTCACATATCCTTACTCACTTCATTCACTACGTTTACTGAAAACTACCTTTTGTGAACTCACTTTTGGATTATTACTCACAGGGGCACTTCTCATAACATTCACATCATTTATTTTACTGAACACTACTGAATGTACGAACATTCTACACAGAAAATTCTCCTAATTCTGTGAACATATGTCACCAAAATACGCCTCACACCATGAAGATGATATACTTGACAATACTCACTTCGTTCAAACCAACTTATTTGCTTATGATTACACGTACTTAAGGAACTTTTTTCACTTATTGAATATTTATATCAGTAATGCCGATGTTAGACGTAATTCCCGTCCGAGTAACGATTTTACGACTGGTAAGTTTCATTATAATCAAAAGGGAGATAACTACAGCAACGATGGATTGTCTCCCTTACAAAGACGGCCAGAATACGCTGGAACATCGACATTTTTCATTAGAAATTATACACGAAGTACCATTTTAAAAGAAGTCAAACAAAATATGACTATTTTACACAAGAGATGAGAACTGTTACATGAAAAATGAAATTCTTTCTATAACCAGTCATGTTTCCTTCCGGAACTTTTTCGATGATTATATTCAAAAAGAAATGTAATAATTTAGCTCTAAAAAGTCAGAGGGATGTTACAATTAAGATTGAACACAATAGGTTTGCGCATTTTTTTGGATTATTCTCGGAAGAAAAATCACCAACTATATATAGTCGAAGCTTTAAGAAATTTTAAGGTCTTTTAGTAGAGTACCGAAATTGTCAGTTTACCAATTCCCTTTAATCTATACATGTATATTTTTCATATTCGTTATAGCAAAATTATAAGTTAGTCTTATTTTGATGTAAATCTGCAAACCCCTATAGTTGATTTAATACCATATTTTTCAAATGATATAAAACAAGATGGTACTCATTCATTACATTTCAATATTTGGAGACAATTCAAGCAGAATAATAAATTCAAACGATCTATATATTAACTTCCGGGTGTAGATGCAATATACATGTATACAAAGATCTACCTCTAAGTTAAATGATACTTAATAACGATCGAACCTGATCGATTTTAGACGGTTAGGTTTAACAATCAATCGATACATTATACAAATAAAGAAGTAACTAGTTTGTAAACGGTTTTATGTTTATTTAAACCGTTAAAGTTGAGGTTCATATATTCATGTAAGGTATGAAAACATTTATTACATTTTATTTTGCATAATATCTTTCTTTTTATCTTCTTTTTTCGTGTTTCATTTTTTTGCAAAGGTTTATTTATGCAGATTAAATGCTTTTTGTGAAAAGGTTAAGTTAAAATGTAGTCTTTTTTCCACATTTGATATGTTAAAAAAGTGTATTAACTTTTTAAGTTATAAAATATTATGTTTTCAGAGAGTTCTATACATAATACAATACGTTTATAAGTTTAATATCAGTTAAAAAGGAATCGAAATTGATGTGTCGATGATATTGTTATTTCGACGCAATTGATATTTCGACGAAATTGTTATTTCGTCAAAATTGTTATTTCGACCACATATTTTTTTTCAAAGGTTTTCAGGTTAGATATAATTTGTCAATCGTCACCTTTTTATAATTTATATCTTATTATACTTTAAAACATTTATTAAAACATTTACAACATCTATATTTAATTAATGCAGAAAACATATTCTTTGCAGTTCTAACAAAATGCAGAATATATTTCAATAAATATATTTAATTAATCGGCATGTATAATTCGCCACGCGTACGTTTACACTGTGATACATTTCATTTTCATTTAGACAAAGTCTTGACGTAACGTTGATAAACAGTGACGTCAATTTGACGTCAGTGCGATTAAGATAAAAGTAACGTTGTTATAAAAATCGAAAATTAGATTCTTTTCTGATATTTTATCAGTTACCAGGATAGAATGTAAAATAATAGTGCGAACAGGAAGTTTAATGTAAACTACATTTTCTATCCGTATTAAAGGGACTCAATGGAGGTTTTTTTTCTTGACATGGCGGAACTGGAAATATATGTTCAATTTGATATAGGTCTAGAACAATAACTTGTGTGCAAATTTTCAGATCATTCTCTTACTCCGTTAATCTAGAATAATTATTCTTATTGTGAAAATATGAGCCAAAATTGAAAAGCGTTTTTACTCAAATCGGGCTAAGAATAGCATAAACATACGAAAATTAATTCATTTCAGAATATATTCCTTAATTACACTTTGTGTAGTTTTCTGTTTTAAGTGCCCCAGATGATCTATGTAAGAAATACAAATTCTATGTTTTTTGACTTTTGAACCTTTAAGTCAATGGTTAATGGTAAATAAGTTAATGGTTAATGGTTAATAAGTTAATGAAAATGACAATATTTTTTTTTAAAGTCTGCACCAATAACAAACACTGACATCTAAAATATTTTACCATTACCTTGTCGGAACCGAACACTTTAAGCATTTGCCACCGGTATGTGGAGTCACACCAGGTTGGACACCCGTTCAGTCTGACCAGACTCTATACTGCTGTCTCACTACTTTTTTTTTAAATATTGATATCCCCAAAATAAATAATCGGCTGTTCCGAAAAGGGTTAAAGTTCGCCTTTTTAAAAATAACGTAAAATTGTACTGGATATACATTACTTTTTTCCTTCAAATTTCAAAAGCAATAAACCGTCCAAATAGTTTAAACGTAATTAAAATTTACAGATGGTGAAGATAACGGTAGGTATGAGATTGCGTGATCAGTATTTTTGTATACGCAATTTAAACGTATATAATTACATGTTAAAATACATTATTTGAATACCAGTCTTTTTGTTTACAAAAATGTTGACAATTTAATTCGCTGTCGACAAGAATATTGAAAATATGAGTCAATATATATTTAAGTATTGTTAACTAATTTTACCTTCAATGAAGTACATGTATAACTGCTTTTCCATAATATAGTTTTATATAGTTTTATCTCTATAATCCATACGACATAGTGATAATGAGTGATTTTAGTTGCATTTAGTTGATAACATAAATATTCAGCTTTTATGAAACACTATATCTAATCTCTTTTTTACTTAAAGGCCCACTCAATTGCTATAAATAATCTCTACATCTTTCTGTCACGACACAGGCCATTCCATGTTTTGAGCACATTCGCTTATAAAATTTTTTTTTTAAGGTAAAACATATATGATATTGTTCTTTTTGCATTTCAGGTAATAAAACTTTCAGTTTAATTCTGTTACAGAATTAAATTTTTATCTAGAGACACTGCTACGAAATTTAGAGAGTAGAATGCTGAAGAAAGATTGGACGAAAATAGACCAACGCGCGTCACAGGTAGTACTTCCGGTTTTTTGGTCTTTCTGTTTATCTGTATATTTTATAAAAATAACTTTGACTATCAGAGTTTCATTTAAGTAAGACTGAAATCTAGTAAATCAAATTTAATTTTGATATAAAGATAAAATTTGGGAGCGTAGGGTTACAAAAAGTCTATAACCACTGCTGTTCTGTTCACCCTTCTGTTAGATGTGAATTACAATAACAAAACGAAATTATAGTTTGATGTGAAATGGAAACTTAAAGTGGCTAAGTAAATTACATTAACAAAGCGGAATAATAGTGTGATGATGATTCCAAAAATCTCATCGCCCCCATCAATACTAATCTTAATATCATTTAGTTCAATAGTCTAATCGGAGCACCTCTACGATTACCGAAGTATGACGGAAAATGCCGAGTATTCAAAAGTTTATATATGTCATAATACATTTGTTTGCAGGCAAAAGAAGAACATGGTAAGACGTATGATGGGTTGATTAATTTTATAGGAGAGCCGGTAAAAGAAAACATAGACCGGGATATTTATATGACAAGGTAAAGACATCAATTAATCTCTCAGTCTTGTGTGGGCAGTCATATGTTCAAATATTCGCTAAATGGTCAGGGACATGTACTTGGGCATATATATATAATGCAGTTCAAGCACTAAATCATTGACCCGGCAGCAAAGGGACAGACGGAACAATAAAAATGCCCCGTTTCCACGCTTTCCTTTAGTTAATTCTTTCTGTTTATGTCATGTATTTCTTTGTGCATGCAATATATAGTGCGCATGTTTGTTTTATGTGTATGTAAATGATAAACTAAAAATTCAACTGACTGAAAAAAATATATTCAACATTCAATTGTATTTTCCCTTATTTATTTCGAAACTCGCCGTTTTATTTTACATGAATTAACTCACACGTCATGTCGGGATTGGATAACCATAAAACACCGCCCACAAAAACAGAAATTATCTTCGTTAAAACTATAACGAGACATTTTGCCGAAATTTTCTATATAAAATACACATGTAATACACAATGATTGCATCTGCCAATAATTCTACCATGCGGATGAGTCTCAAAATCGTTATCAACAGATATTACTTCAGTCGAGGACTAAAAATACCGGGACGGGCAACTTGCGTATCTTTTCAGTGACTATGTTGGTGTCCAACTGAAATCGATTGTCTTAGGATTGTAACATTAAGACTTAATGATCATCTCCAAACATGAATATAATAAAGTATTTAAACTCGTCAATTATTTTCAAGCAATTTTCAAGTTATAATGCAATAACCACAGCATGGGTGCGTTTCATAAAGAATCGTAAGTCTGAAACATAAGATTAAAGTTAGGACTGGAATAAAATTGTATTTAGGAGTGTTTCAAGAAATCTAGAGACACCCCTAAGAATAGTCATAACTTTAGTCTTAAGTTTGCACTGGGGACTTTTCTTGAAACGCATTTTTATCCAAGTTTTGCACTTACGACCAAAATCGGTCCTATGATTCTTTATGAAGCGCACCCCAGGTTTTGAGAAATATAAATGACATAATTTTGGGGTTATTAAGCAAATTAAAGTTTTTATTTTCTCTAATAATTTGAATGAAATTTCACACAAAGCAGTTGTTTTTTTTTACAGAGGATTGTTATACTGGTTGAAGTGTCAAGCCAATCTGAAGAAAGAGCACGGGAAAGACTCACCACTGACATTGGCATTCAAAATGTACAACGGAAAAATAGGATATGCCGAGGCTTTTACAACTCTGTGCACGTAAAATCCATATGTTATTTTATTCAAACCAATTTACTGAAATATTTATAATACTGTTCGCTGTTACGTCGATTTTATTGGACAATTGTGGCGTTGTTAATACTCATATACTCCGTTCCTATTCGATCTTTTATCGAAACCGAATATGTGATATTTGTTCTTAACAGAGACATTTGACAGGTTATATGACCTTGAATTAAAAGTTGTTTGCTACGCTGTATATATAAGCTTACAATTGTTTATCCTTTGGTTATATAATCTGCCAAAATATATTTAACTAACAAATATTAAAGGATAGACCAACCAATTATCATGTCTTTAAGATCAAATTTCAAATAACGCTTTGCCTTTAGAAAAGATAAAATATGATATAAATATCAGCTAGACTCCTCTCGTATGTATCCTTAATAAAAAAGCTATATGTTGACATTTTCTTAACTTTTCACTATAATAGTATACAAGGGATACTATAGCAGCTTCAATTTAGCTGAAGTTAAAACAGAAGAAGTAAGTATGTTTTTTTTTCAGAAATATTCTGCGTGTATATGTAATGTATATCATAGAAAATGAGAAAAAACACTCAATTTCGACGACTGAAATATGTATTAATAATAAGAATGTATCCACAAATACGTATCTGTTGAGTTTAATAATAAGCTTTCTTTTCATTCTTAAGAAAAGCAAAAATTCAGTGTGAGACTGTCAAAGGCGTCGCGAAAACTGGTGATTATAAGCCCGGGGATCTAAAAATCGACAATGAAAAGATGTATTCTTTTTGGAATAAGGTTAATCTTCTCGGTAAATGGTGGCCAATTCACCCAAGATATGTTTTACGGTCTATAAAGGGTCCTGTGCAACCATCTGGGTATACACAGATCGATTCTGACGTCAAACACAACTCAGAAGCCCAATCAACACAGGCAAACCAAACGGAATACACCTTCAACGACTTTTGGTTCCTTTCTGATCCTGCAATATTCATTCACAAGTGTTATCCCGACAATCTGGAAGATCAGATGCTCCCTGCAGCCAAACGAATAAAGAAATCTCGACAATTCATGAAATTACCTTATCTTACACCGGTGTTCCATGAATTCAATCTTAAAATGACAAGCGAGGAGACTTGTATTGTCGACACCATAGATGGTCTCGCGAAAATATCGTTTAAGGCGAGCAGAAAAATAGCAAAGACAATGATATGTGACTATTCATTGAGTATAGGCGAAAGACTTGGAACAGATGCGTCACCATTTGATTTTGATTCTGCGAACCTTGTTTTCTCGTCCCGTAAAAAGAATCAATTTATTTTTGAAGTACGATGTCCTGTCGAGGCCAACTATCAGATATCTATAAGCGGTGGGGACATTGAAAGTAAGAGCAAGAAAGTTCTTATCAAGAGTAAGATCGTCTGCAAAGAAAGGATGTCAGATGTACGCACTTTACCAATCGACGCGGGACAAATAGGTTGGGGATTTGGACCAGTTGCTGTCAAAGCTGGATTGTCAAAGCCAAAAGTCAAAGAACCAAAGCTTTTTATACAACCTTTGTCAGCCGGAAAGGGTGGCAAAACAACAATGAAAATGAGGTTCAATATTGACAAAGATGCTTTGAAAACAACGAAATATTCTGCCGAAATATGTGTAGATGGGAAACCGGTTGATCGCTCTCAAGGTTGGTGTAAAGTTCATTATGACAATATTTTAGTTGCAATATTCGTATTCTTGATATAGACGAAAGCTCAGTTCGCTCACTAGGCGGCTGGTAAAGATCAAATGATTAAGAAGTCTTAAGTTCGAATACGAGACGGAGACATAACATTCTAACAAATGCTCTAAAAAATGATCAGATAACGACAGAAATATGTGCACCTAAACGTTCTCCAAATAGATATTAGTTACTGAAATTGCAAAACCGTTTTCTTTCGATATTAATTGAAATAAGAAGAAAGTGGGAAAGTACAACACATGAACACAGGAGCTGGTTTAGATTATTTATTTTCTACCGGTGTCGGTTGTATTAATTAGTTTGAATTGCTGATTCTAAGCTACCTATAAGTAAAACGCCGTGATTATCCCTTTTAAATCATACTACTAAAAGGAAAATTCTTAAGACTATAAAAAAAGTTATTTTCGTGTTTACAAATATATTCAAAGGAAAAAATTCTTACAACTATAACAAGGTTATTTTTGTGTTACAAAAATATTTGAGATTGTTTTCATTGTCAGCACAAAGTTATTTTTTACGATGTCTAGAGGAAAAACAATCGCTAAAATGAAAGGTAAAATTTGTTTTAATTGTGTTTCTAGAATATGTTAAGACAAATATCAAGTCGGGCGAGCTCCAGGTTGACTGTAGTGTCCCAAGTGACGGTGAATATGCCTTGATAATCAAAGCCAAAGACAGCAAGGAACCAGAATTTAAGCCAATCTGCAACTATCTCCTAACAACATTAGAAAACGAGGAAAAAAGTAAGTTAATGATCAAATCATTTTAATTTATATATACTTTTTGCTTTGAAAGACATATTAATCTGAGTATTTTAATTGTTAATGATTTTGACAGTTGTTGATAAAGTGTCTAATCATTTTGATAACTAAGCAAGCAACTAAAAAAATATAAATGGCCAAAACATTAAACATAATAATAGCCACACACACTTACACACACGCACGCACACATACACAAATGATACCTGTAACAAACGAACTGATTTTCTCACCCTAGAATAAACATAATTTGCTTTGATATGTATTACATTTTTTTAAATATACTTATTACAGTGTCCGATGAATACTACGATTCTTCCGACGGTACCTCAGATATTGACGAGGAAATCGACCAACTGGAGACAACTTTACAAGCATTAACCGCTGAGAGGGATAGACTTAAGCAAGAAGCGTCGAGGCAATGAATTTGTCCGGGAATCGCCTTAACTAACAAATGCAAGAACATTTTAATTGTTAAACAAGCAGAAGGTGTTTACCGTTTTTGTTCTATTTCAAAATAATGTTTTTAGAAATGTAATTGTATGGAACTTACTCAAATTAAAATAATCTGGTTATACTTATCGTAATATATGCTGTGAAGATAACTAACAGACGTTTAAAGAACTCCACTGAGGTACAAGAGCCTTAAAACATAAAACTTGATTTCCATACATAGATCAGCTTGGGCAAATATGCAAACTATATTGTAGATATATATTAAGAAATTGAAACTAATATTTTGTGCTATTTTAGCCTAGATTTTGGAACGCTTTTCAAATTTGAGTCATTATTTACAAGAAGAAAACTGATTCTAAAAAAACTGAGTGAGCAAATGATCTGAAATTTGGCACATTAGTTATGAGTCTAGCCATACATCAAATGGAACATTTTTCTATCTCAAAAATCATATCCAGTCCAGTCATGTTAAAAACTCTCAGTAGAGTCTCTTTTATTCGTTGAAGAACATAACATTTTTTGGGACAATAGATGTATCTTGTAATGAATGTGTCATGTTTGTTTTGAAAATTATTCAGACGTTATTCTGTTCACCATCGAATGAGAGGCAGCATTTATGTTGCTGTGATACTTTGAATTGCATGAAACTTTATGTCTCATTAATCACTTATCACATAAGTCTTTTTGGTCATAAATGTGTAGGCAGGACAATGCCAAACACCTATTATTCTATTTTTTATTGAATTTACACTTTTGCGAAGTTAAACAATATCAACACCTGTTTGGTTCGTGTTCTGCCTGCACAGCTACAGGGGAAAAGATCGTCTATGTCATTGCATATAACTGATAAGTACTTTAAGTGACATCATGACCAAATAAGAGTAAATGGTGAGTGTTCAGATAAAATCACAATGACTTTACATTTTATCATATTTGTTTCCAAATTTTAAAATAAACGTCATCTGAGTAATTGTAACCCTATCATTCACTATACTATATAAAAATATCATTCGGAGACTATCAGCAATGTTCGTTTTATAAAAAGAAAGGGGCAGTCGTTTTATATTTTAGGCTGTTTTTTTATATTATATCCTAAACATTTGCCATTGTCAATTGTTATTCAATCGCCAGTAATATTTTAAAATGTATTTTATCTCGCTTGACTGTGATATAATGAACATAATATCACTTTAACTAAACAACATTTACATTTTTTGCTTATAAATGCTTAAATTCTTTCTAATTGCTATAAATTAGGTTTCAAAATGTATGAATATTTCATAATGCTTCCTGTATATGTGTTATTAATGTTTTACATGTTAAACAAAATGTCTAGACGATCCTTACATTTGTCCTAATTTCATGTCATTTTTGCATAATAAACTTTAATATATGTATGTATATGGATTAAATTCTATGGATTAAGCTCTATGAATACTCAAATTGATCAAAACTTGGAAAGAGTCATAAAATAATAATGTGACGAACCATACAGCGTTTTAGGAACATTAGTAATGTAATTTTATATCAATTAATAACGAAAGTTAAGATTTGTTATACACACATGCTATTATGTTTAGAACACGTCTCTTCTTTTAAATATTGTAGCAATAGTATAAAAGTGATGATCAAAGGGTCTATGATGACATGACCATTTATTTTAAACACGAGAAATATTAAGAATGGTACAATAATATATAACATTAAAAACAAGCGTCATGATTCGATAAAATGTAATTGCATTATTAGACACAGAAGTATCAGTATTGAAGTATATTAATCAAAGTTGAGGAGTTATGATTTTTTTTTCGTTCAGAAGAAAACATACTCAAACGTACAAACAAGTCTATGAAATGTACAGTTCCACAACAATATCATTTATCATTATACAATTATTGACTAGTTTGACATTGAATATGATGTGATATCCACCGGCAGATGACATATTGACAGAGGCGATAGCCGAGGTTAATATGATTCTCGCCGGTGAATATCACATCATATTCAATGGCTCACTAGTCAATAATTGTTTTATTATATGAATGGGTTTTAAGAATTTAAAAAAAAATCACAGAAAGTACATGTACAAGTTGTGCCTGTTTCGTTGAAGCGCGGGAAAAAGGCACGTGTCAAGCGTGCAACAACTACGATACAAGAGTAATTCAAGTTTATATTCATCATTGCGGTGTAACATTTAACTATTATAGTAAAATAATGATAATTTAATCGAGAAATATGCCACACAGGACAAAACGCAACAATTATTTTTTAACAAGCACACGCAATTAACAGTCACCGATATATGGTCATTGAATATGAGTCTCAATCTATTTTTAGACTGGGAAATTCCACCAATTCATCCAGTGAATATGATACTACAGCCAGTGAATATGATTTTATAAAACGTTCCGTTTACTACTGTTTTGACCAATGTGATTTCAGCTATCTTTCGATCATATAATAATAGAAAATATCCTGTAACATAGCTCAATAATTTCAAGACATAACTTTAACTTAGACAACATGAAGTAGATACCAAAACTACTAAAAATAGCGAGGAACAGAATGAATTGCATTAGTACATATAAACATGGAGCTAAATATATATTGTTTATATATCTGTGATATAAATAAATATCAAAAGGTCCTTGGAACGTTTTTAAATAAAATATGGCATATACCGGTACTCATAAAGTGAAATTTACGACATCCAAGGGTATATAGTGAGTGAACAGGTGAAAGGCAAGACTAGTTTACATTTTTTTCATAATTTCTTTTAAATACTGCCATAATAACAGTACTAGTAGTTAAACGAGGTAATGGTAGCGGTATGGACACTGTAGCAATGATCAGGTGAATTTAACAGTGAGCATTCCCTTTGACCTACTGCAATCAAAATCAAAAGTTTAATTTGCTGTTCGGTTGTCAACATATTTGCGAAAAGTGCAGAATATAATAATGCATGAACATTCTGCAACCGTTTTGAGCATAGGATTTTACAAAAGAAAAGATAGTTCAATGTCACATTGTTTTTCTTATAAAATGGATATTTGTCTAGTTTCGTTCATGACAATGAATGAAACTCGTATTTAGCTTGACAGATTCCACAGATTATACAACTCAAATGTTGATACTGGCTTAATACGATCTTCAGATTTTTAATACAAAACTCATAAACATACGCCAAACATAAAAAAGATGAGGCGTTATAAGCGTTTTAACATAGATCTCGAGGTGGGACGGGCATTGTCCGCTGCCATGAACAAACGATGTCCGTTTCTTTCGGTTAATTGAAAAAAATTACTTTCCTTCAATGCAGCCACTTTGAAATTTGTTTCATAAATGTTTACTTCCAAATATAAATTTCCCCTGGTATTAATAAATGTAATTGGCAAAGTAATGTTGCAAATGATTGAAATACCTCTACGTTTTACCTATCTACTCATGGATGCACAGTTTTGTTTTTCACAAAGCAAAGGATCTTTAAGAATTGAATAATTTAGCAAATACTTAATGCTCATTATCCTAGATGGTCTGAAGCATTGCCGCTTTTCCTAAACTTTCATTTATTACAATACTGAAAATATACTAACTTTTTCGTACCCGGTCATATGCAGTAAATACCGAACTTGAACAGCAACGCTTATTTGACTTTGGCTATACACCATAAAATTTAAAAATTGAATAACTTGCATAACCCATAATATCATTAAGGTACGACCGAATAATGTAAACGTTATCGTGTGTTCGATTTATAATTCAAATATAGACTTCATGGAAATTATACTTCCGCGTTCCAAGTTTATCTACTGTTTGTAGCAACGAAATGTAAACATTTGACAGATAAAGTTTGGATCGGAACACTATATAACGGCTAACGTGAACATTTTATTTAGTTAATCAGTTTAAAACCACGACTTGTTTTATTGAAATATCTAAGTTTGTAAAGTCGCTGAATATTGACTTCGATATTTAAATATATGTACGTGTATATATGTAATATCTAAAAAGGGACGATATAATCGTTACACAAAATGGCGGATAGTGGAAGTAAAATAGGGGAGGATGATGAAGTTCCTGGTCGCGTGAAGGAACATTTGTGTCAACCATGTTTAAGTAAGGATAAGCAAACTGTTGCCGACAAGTTTTGTTCAACTTGTAATGAATTCCAATGTAATGATTGTTCAAATGTTCACAATGTGCTCACCATCTTAAAAAGTCATAAATTGGTGAGCGTGAATGAAGCTGATGTTGCAAGTATTTCGGTTAAAATGAAGGCCTTAGATCTATGTGATCAACATCAACATTCGTTTGAATTTTTCTGTGAAGATGAAAAGAAGCTTTGCTGCAGTAAGTGTGCAATTGTTAATCATCGAAAATGTCACAGCGTTGTAGAAATTGAGAAGATTGCTGGGAATATTACCTCACCAATTTCTACATTAGGTGAAAAATTGAAGGAAGCTAAAGAAGCTGCTGAGAGTGTTGCGAGACATATTCGCTCTTCAAAAAATCAACTTGCTCAAGATATAAAAGAAATACAAGTAAAGATAATACGAATGCGAGACGAAGTAATGAAAATGTTTGCCGATCTAGAAGGTTACGTTAACAAAAGAGCTGAAACTCTGCAGAAAGAAACCTTAGAAAATCTGACAAAGAAGCAAACACAAAACGAGAAAGATTTGGTTGATGTAACATCGTGCTTAGAAACAATTGAAAGTATTTTCAAAAACGGAACTCCAGTACAGAAATATATAGCAGAACAGAAAATGGAGAGTAACGTCAATGCTCTCTGCAGAAACATCAAGGAGGAATGTCAGAACTTAGAGAAGGTGAACATTTCTTTTCAATTTGACGAAACAATAAAGCTGCCGCCATTACCTGTGACTGAACATGTTTCAGGACAATTACAATTCAAGTTTCATCACCAAGGAGATGTTAATTCTGTTAACATGATGATGAAGTTAACACCAGTTTCTTCTATTGATTTAAAAAAGACGGGAGATGATATCGATGACCCGTTATATACAGGCATAGATTTTTTACCTGATGGTAGACTTGTGGCTGTGGATAACACAAACAATAAATGTATAGTGTACAATGAGAAGCTTCAGA